CAAGAGCCTTGAAAATTGCCAATATTCATGAACTTCTTACTTTTGCTTTATAATTTCCTTCCCAGAACCCTCACTCAGGCTCCAATAAGCAGTGGTATCAACAAGAAAAAGTTGAGTCAAGAGAATAAGCTAGACATTAATCCTCAAACCTACAGTAATTTTGGAAGATGCCCTTTACTCTTTATAAAACTATAATTAATATTCAAAAGTAGGAAATTTTCCAACTTTTTTTTTTTTTTTTTTTTTTTTTTTTTTTTTTTTTTTTTTTTTTTTGCCTGCTCAGTTTTGGGTAGAACATTTTAGGGAGAAATTATTGTAGGTCAGGGAAATTTTTTAAAAATGGACCAATTAATGATCAAGTCACCAGGAACTTTTTTCTACCCCATATAATGATGTTTTCCTTCTTTTAAGTACTTTACAGTGATCACTTAGGTTTTGCAGACATATGATTTAACAACTTTTCTAAACTACATAAAATCCAAGATATGTAGTGCCCAAATGCATACAGACTATGGCCCTTCATATCCAAAAACTTGTGATCACACTACTCTTCTTTTAAAAGACCTTTCCCCAAAATACATGAAAAAAAATATTTCCATTTGGAGTGCATGGGTTGGATAGATTGGAAATTATATTTACATGTCTGAAAACGGAAGCACTATTTACACATCTATGTGAGTCTCATTTTGGTGATACAATTTACTTATAAGGGCTGAATCAACAACAAAAAATTGTGGTCTTATTTTAATGAAATAAAAGCAGGTAAATAAAAAAAAAATGCATGCCCTCAAGTTCTTGACTATCTTGAACTTTAAACATTCCTATCGTGTTTTAAAATAGATATAAATCCTATGATCATGCAATTATTGCTTTTAAAGGGGAAAAAGACTAACTGGAAAACTCATTAGCAGAACCAGATATGATGTTGGGACTGCCCATGTAGCTGACCATGCTGCGATGTGTCACACGATTCAGCAGAGCAGCTGAGCATGTCTAGCAGTTCCTTGCCATGGCAGGGGAAGGAACATAGCTGAGTAGCATGCAGGCCAGTCAAGATTCACTTAGAAAATAATTGTACACTTGCTTGGGTAACCTGGGTAAAAGTGGTGGCACGAGTTTCTGGCTGGTTAAAAAACCCCAGAGCTGCATTCTTGATGGCTCCCGCTCGATTTTACCCCTGTGAGAAGTAAGAACGGTAAGCAGTGAAGGTTACAGCAGGATAATGCTAGATTGTGCTTTGGAATTCAACTTCAAATATGATTCTTAAGAGCATTTATTCTATATCCTTTATCTAGGAAGACAATGAAACCTTTCACGGACAAAATTGTCAAAATTGCTACTTATATAAAAATTCAAATAAATCATGATTATGGAAACTTTAAAAAAGATAAAAATGAAGAAAATTAAATGTTATATCTTGTCACAATATTTGTATAATTCCAAATTATTCAAAAAGAAAAAGATCACTATTTTGAAATCTGTACCTTAAATTCTCTTACATTTTTTCATGCAAAGCTTTATATTTATTTTCATACCAGACTATTTATGTTAGTGATCCATATAGATGAATACAGTATATACATAATATATCAGGTAATATATAATAACAATGATTCATTTTTTATCTCTAAAAACTTCTCTCTCTAAAATTTTCTCCCCAGCTAGATGGTTTATTATGAAAATCATTAGGAGTTGATTAGATAGGCTTTATAGGTTTTATACATCTTCCACATTAATGATTAATTTACTGCCTCTTCCTAAAGCAGAAATGAATTGAAAATTTTTTTTCCTCTTCCTTTTTTTTCTTCTTCTGTGATAAATGTATCACTGCTGGGTCTAGCTTGTATGTTTTCTCACTTTGTCAGCAAAGAGATAAGATACTGTGCTCTCCAAAGCACAGCTCAATGCTCTTTTCCTACTTGTGGTAAAAAAAAAAACAACAACTAAGAAGCATGAGTCAAAATATCACTTTAAGAATATGGTGTGTGTGTGTGTGTGTGTGTGTGTGTGTGTGTGTGCATGTGCATTATAATTACTAAAAAAAAGAACACAGCTAACATTAATGTGCTCCTGGAATATGTTCAATGTCAGCAGTTTTCAGAAGTTTCAAATCAAAACTGAACTTTGCTGAAATTTACTTAAATCTTTTCTATAATGATAGAACATGCTGATTTTTGCTTTAAAAAAAAGTGTACTTTTAATTTTTGTGTGAGCATATATGGAAATTGATTGCCCTGTTACCTATTCAGGGATTTTTTTTGTAATAGTTTTAAAAACCATTACATAAAATTTATTGTTGAATTTAATTTTACTGCACAAAATACTTTGCCATTTTATTGTAACTGTAAAAGTATTTAATTGTATATTTACTTTGATTCATTTTCCCACCTTATTATCTGTATATTTTAAACAATTTCATTACATTCTATAATTAGATTACATGTACCCAAAATTAGCTCGAAAGAAGAGAGAATGATTATTTAAAAAGTCACCCAATAAAGAAATTTTTGTTCTGATAACAAAATCTTTTCTAGGATTTGATAATGAAGATATTGTATCCTATTTATTACAAATTTATCATTTTTTAGCCACTAAAAAGACATTACAGTGAGGTAGTATTCTTCTATTCTTCCAAGCAATCATTTAGATATCTGCATACATTACAGAGTTTTTTGAAGTATTATGGAAACCAACTGTTTCAAGATATTTAGTTTTCACAGTGCCAAGGTGATAAACCTATGGTATTAATGTAGCAAAAGTGTCTCCAGCTCTGTGGCTTTTCTAGCTCTTCTTGACCTCAAGCTAGTCTTGTCCATTGTCTTTTCGCATTTTTTTCTGTATACTTACTTCTTTGGTGAGCTCCTCTAATTTCAAGGGATCAGATAATTATGAATCTGCATTTGTGAAGCTATTTTTAAACCCTAAGCTCTCACCCAAGCTCTGGTTCCAAACACTGTCACTTCTACTTCAGCATATCATGATGACATGCCTTCTCTTCCCATATAAATCTGGTGATCTTTTCCACAAAGAGTTTTAGACATTGGCATTATCATTTTTCCAATTTTCCAGATTTTTTATTGGGCTTGTCAAATCCCCACACTTACTCGCCTTCTCAGGAATCTCACCTCATTGCTATCAAATGATTGTTACTACATTCCCCACCGTAACCCCGCTTATCCCTCACTCTAAACTGTTTAACTCATTGATATCAAATAAAATTTCCTAAAGTATCATTTCTCTGTTGGTTTTCCCTTGCTTCAATATAGACAGCTTCTTATTGCCTATGCAGCCAATTCAAACTCATCGACTTACTTCAACGACTGAGCAATCTGGAACTAACCCATTCAAAAATATTTTCCACTAACTTCTCAACCATACTTTATTTCCTTATATATGGCGATTGTTTCACTATATCGCATTAATATTAAACTCACTCTCAATTCTGTCTATTGTTTAGTAGGTTTTTGCTATTTGACCCAGACTTTGAGGTTTGTTTTAGTTTTATCTCTTCCATTTAGTAACTTACTATGTTCTTGCTGTTCTCAATACACATGCCCTTATATTCAGTGCTATAGGATTAATCCTTTTTCTTTTCTTTTTGGATTAATCCTTTTAATGTCTTTATTTATTGTATTTTGTGAGTTAGTGTTAGCTTCCCCAAAGATGTTCAGGTTTTCTACAAGGGGGTTATGCTATGCAGCTCTCCTTTAATTTTTTCTTACTCATAGTATCCAGCAGAATGCTAAGTTAATAAAAGTATTCAATACATGTTTGTTAATTCATTGTTGTCTCCTCTTAAATCAATATCAGATGAAAAATTAGAATTAACTTCTTATTTTACTAGAATGAGCAACATATAGATTAGAATTGAACTCACTAAGTTGACTTTGAGTGAAATTCAGAGAAAAAAATCTCATGCATCATTTAATGTGTATTTTTACTTTTCCCAAAATATTTTCAAACTTACTATTATATATCAGCAGTTATGAAATGCCTAAAAAAAGATCAGAGAGCTACCAGTTGTGATATTGTCAACTACTTATTACTTATACGAATTCAGTTGTTACTGTATTTAAGAAAGAAGGTTATGAAATATGCCCACAAAATCAGACTACACTGATCTGATTCCTAAGGTTTCAGTATTACGCCCTCTAACTAAAACTTTCTTTTATAACTCCATGCTAGACTTACTTCTTACTGGTATATCAGAAGTTCACAAATAAGTAATGGTAAAAATTTTAATACTGTTCTCACAACACAGTATTGCAGAATTAATACCAATAAACTACTATTACGATATCCTATGAATTCTTATCATGAAATGGTAAAAATTCCCTTCTTTTCTTTTAAATAACTAGTAATATGATAGTAAAAGCAGCTTTTCAATTTATAACTTAATTATAGTCTTCAAGTAAAGCTTTTCTAAGTAGTTCTTAGTATTTTCAAGTTCATCTGGAAGACCTTATAGATTTGCTTATTGCTGACTGAGCAAAATATTATCAGTGCTATTTGTAGTTTTCTAATATGTACAACTCTTTCATAAATGAATAACACGGTATCATAGGCAAAAAAAAAAACTTTCAGAGGTGAACAAAAACTATAAAAACTTTCACATTAAAACAAATTGTAGCAAACCTTAATATATTATAGAAAGTAAGGAGATGACACTTTCACAATGATCAATAAAATATGGTTCCTTGATTTTTCTACAGAGCATAATTAGTACAGAATAGAACATATTAGATGTTAGACCATATTTTTAAATCGGACTTTCAAACTATCAGGAAAATAAATGCTAACTATTCAAAATGAACATTTTCTATGAAAATTTGTAATTTCTATGATTGAACTTCCCAATAAAAATAGTTTGTACTTTTCAAATTTTACCCTTTATAGCTTCCAATATACTTTTAAGTAACATAAACACAGTAAGAATACTAAGTAATCATATTGCCTGGTTATTAAAAGAAATACAACATGCAGTTTAAAAGCATTCTTACCTCTTTGCTTTCTTCCAGTTCAGACTCACTGCTGAACTCCTCAGTATTTAAGTTTTCGAAATCAGACTCTCCAACAGCAATTGGCACTGTTACAGTGAGGCTGGGGTTGTTTATGAAGGACATATCATTTTCATCGATTACATATTTTTCAACACTGCTTCCAGTGCCTACACCGCTGGTGGTTCCATTCCCATCTTTTAGATAATTAAGCTCTTTGCTTATTTCAATTGCAGTATTATTGGACATGCAGCTGTCTATTTTGTTGCCTTCCTGGATTTCTAGAACTTTTGGCTTTCTAAAAAAGGTTTTTCGGAAACAGTCCTGTATCTTACTTTTCACATAATCAATTCCCTTTTGCATCCTTCCTACTGCAATCTGGAGATTGTTCATTTCATTATCATCATCAGTAGCAGCAAGGTTGTCAGAGCTAAATGAACTCAGCAACAAGGCCAGAAAGAGGTTCAGAACCTAAGAGAAAAAAAAATTATTACATTAATATTGAAATATGCACAAATATAATAGCTTAAATAGGACACTCATAGATCTTTGCTAAAATTAATTCATCAAATGCTTCTACTTTGCTTACTGTATTTTAGACACCATGTCTTAATTACACACTACTTAAAAGGACCTGACATTGCCGAAACCGGTTTGGCTCAGTGGATAGAGCGTTGGCCTGCGGACTGAAGGTCCCAGGTTCGATTCTGGTCCAGGGCATGTACCTTGATTGTGGGCACATCCCCAGTAGGGGTTGTGCAAGAGGCAGTTGATTGACGATTCTCTCTCATCGATGTTTCTAACTATCCCTCTCTCTTCCTCTCTGAAAAATCAATAAAATATATTTTTTAAAATAAATAAATAAATAAATAAATAAATAAATAAAAGGATCTGACATCTATCTGCTATAAGGGCAAAATGGAAAAACAGGCTCTATCTATTTCCTACTGAGGAAAATGGGAATCTAGAGCTTCTAATATTTAAATTGTGTCTACTCAGGGTTGCCAATGAAAGATAAATCCCATTTTTATGTTTTAGCTCAATGAGAAAAAAATAAGACATTTTCATTTTAATCATTTTACTTCATTTTACCAGTTTGTTTAGGGAATGTCTAGTTTTGTGTTTAAATAATGAATTTATTTATTTAATAGTCTAGTAATATGTTAAAACAATATACTTGAAATGTACATTCCTTTGTCCAATGGCCACAAAATTTTATAGCAGTAGACATTTCTAAATGCAAATTATAAAATACATCGCCCGTAAATATGCTTTGAAATTTGTGTCCAAATAGTTCAACAGATGGAGAAAAATTTAAAATTATCCCAAGGCATAGGCTAGAGCCATAAATTACTTTTCTCTTTCCTCTTTTTGTACAGAAAGTATGAGGAAATATTATCTCTGAGAGTATCTCTGGGATACATGGGGAAAATTATCTAATTAACAGATAAAATATGACTAATACAGAATAATTAATTATAGCTGATGCAAAAAGAAATTTATTTATAGGAATATTTTTAGCCTGAAATGCAGTTATTGAGTTAAAAAAATAGTTACATGGTAGAAAAACACATGAAAATAAAAACATACCAGTTTGTTTCCTTATTTCTGTATCAGATTTTGTTCAGAATATAGAGCTTCTTAATTTATTATTCTGAAAATATTGCTTGTTCAAAGGTATTCCACAACATTATTTTAAGCGTTCTCATTTGAAATGCACCTCTCAATGGAACAGTCCAGTGTGACAGTATAAAGAAATGCTTTGTCTACACATGATTGAGAAATTTAAACATTAAAACTAAATATACAAATTGTGGTTTTACATGTGCGCTTTAAACCAGAGCTGAAAGTAGGTCTTTTATGTCTAGTTAATGTCCATTCGTATGAGTGACTTAAACTATAGTAATTTATTTTCCTTTTAGAAAGCACATACAGAGAAGAATATATTTAGTCCCTTCCAATAATTACAATACATAGTTAAAAATACTAGTATAATGCTCTATTTCATTGAAATTTGTCTTCAAAATTTTGTACTGTGAAACCTATGCCTTTAAAATATATTTTTATTGATTTTTTTACAGAGAGGAAGGGAGAGGGATAGAGAGCCAGAAACATTGATCAATGAGAGAGAAACACTGACCAGCTGCCTCCTGCACACCTTCTGGGGATGTGCCTGCAACCAATGTACATGCCCTTGACCGGAATCAAACCTGGGACCTTTCAGTCCGCAGCGGACACTCTATCCATTGAGCCAAACCAGTTTCGGCTAACTTATGCCTTTTAGTAAGCAAACAATATGAACTCTGAACTTATAAAGAGCAGTTTCAATATAGAGTAGATGTATTTTTAATATTGGAGATTATTATTTTATCAAAGTAATATTATGATAAAATAATTCAGGCTATAAAATATTATGATAAAGCTAATCTTAATTATAAAAACATTTATTTGAAGAAAAAAACTAATGTTTCCTACCCCCCCCCCAAAAAAAAAAACACACCACATCAGATAGACATCATCATCATAGCATTCACAATATTTCAGTTTTTCATTATAGTTTCATAGTTTGGAAACTTGAGCAGTTAAGTAACTGGCCCATGCTTAGAGTGCCAGCACTGGGATCTGAGTCTAAGTCATTGATGAAAAACCAGAGATATGTCTACAGTGTCAGCCTATCTTCCTAGCTACTGTCTAATCTTATTTTTTTTTAATTTTTTAAATAATATATTTTTATTGATTTCAGAGGAGAATGAGGGAGAGAGAGATAGAAACATCAAGATTGACTGCCTCTTGCATGCTCCACACTGGGATTTGAGCCTGCAACCCAGGTATGTGCCCTGACTGGGAATGGAACCGTGATCTCTTGGTTCATAGGTTGATGCTCAACCACTGAGCCACTGAGCCATGCTGGCTGGTCTGCTCTCATTATGAATATTTGCAATGCATACGTACCACGAGGTTTCCAATAACCATGACCAACATGAAAACAATAAGGCACATGGTTTGGCCGGCGACCTCCATGCAGTCCCACATGGTCTCTATCCACTCTCCACACAGCACACGGAACACAATCAGGAAGGAGTGGAAGAAGTCATGCATGTGCCAGCGCGGAAGTTGACAGTCGCTGGAGATCTTGCAGACACATTCTTTGTAGCTCTTGCCAAAGAGCTGCATGCCGACCACAGCAAAGATGAAGACGATGATGGCCAACACCAAGGTGAGGTTCCCCAGGGCCCCCACTGAATTGCCGATGATCTTAATTAGCATGTTCAGGGTGGGCCAGGATTTTGCCAACTTGAAAACACGAAGCTGCAATCAAGTGAAAAGCTACTCTTAGCAGTAATCACAATGCAATTGTTGAAGTTAGTTAAACATCATTTAATTAGTGTACTATATTATAGACCAGCTCTGTGGGATACAAGTTTGGATATAAAAATCTCAAGACATACAAAACAAACTCAAATCCAGAAAAGAGTGTTAATAATATTGGAATTGCAAATCGAATCATGATATAATTTAAATGCAAAAGTAAAAATATATATATATATATATGTGTGTGTGTGTGTGTGTGTGTGTATAATATTTCAGATGTTATAAATAAAACATTTCTGATTTATCAACAGATACTATGAAAACATTAATATTTTTATTAAAGACATTATAAATTTAGCAAACTAATATCATCCTCATACTATATTTTTGAGAGTAAAAAATACGGATCTTAATGCACATTTGTAAAATAAACTACTTTGATAAAAAAAATACTTATAGAAAGCTCTCTTTGCACTTGAAAAAATACACATTTTACTTAATTTTTAACAAAATTTTACATATTTTTCAAAAGATTTTTAGCTGACCTCAAAAAGTTTGCTTTACTATTGTTTAAAGTGCTGATGCTATCAAATATTTTTCTACATGTACCTTTAATGTAGCTCCCACTAATATAAGGTTGATAAAAAGCTAAGATTAATTGGGACCTAAAGTTTCTATTTGCATTTTTATAGACTTTAAAGCAAAAAGAAGTTAAGGAATTTAAAACATAATTTTAGAAGCACATGTGTTGTTAGATGTGCCCTACATAGTTAATCATTATGAAATGTTTCAACCATTTTTATCATTCTTAGAAAAACAGTCACACTTAATTTTAAAGAGAACATTTATATATTTCCATAGACTGCCACACGTATTGGGATAAATTTAAAATTCAAAGTAAATATTTTAGAAATACATTTTGATTCACTTTCAGAATAAATGTTCTGTTAATGAAAAAGAACATATAAATAGTCTGTGTGCAGATACCAGTCTGAATGATCTCAGTACAGACAATCCCTCCACACTGGACAGGCCAAGCTCCATCAAACTGAGACTGACAATAATGCCGTCGAAGATATTCCATCCCTCTTGGAAATAATAGTAGGGATCCATGGCAATGAGCTTGAGAACCATTTCTGCTGTGAAGATCCCAGTGAAGACCTACAGTAAAGAAATGTGACAATTTGATACAAGCTTAGCATTTTATTTCAGAGGAGTATTTTAAGTAGATTTGTTTTATTTAACAAATTTGATAGATTTTCAGGGAAATGCTGATTTTGAAACATTTCATCATTCACATTTTAAATTTGATACTAAATAACAGCTATGGAATTGTTGCTATTTTTGGTACGCTATGCTTCTATAATCATATATATATATATATATATATATATATATGATTTGAATATATATTTAGTATTTGTACATTAGGAAACAAATCTATATGTTATTGGAGGTTACACAAAAAATATTTTAAATTTAGTAAAAAACATAATTCGTTCATGATTTTTGTTTTTTTTAAATAAATGTCTTATTTCTATGATTTTATCAAAATTCCTGAAAACTTCCTGAAAGAGTGTGCCACAAATGTTTTATAATAATGATCTCTGGGTGCATGCCTCAGAATTGAGATTAATAATTAATAGAACAAGGAACTGCAGATTTCATTAAAGCAGTAGGAGCATATCCTCAGTATGCATATATCCATAATTAAGATTAATAAGTTATCTGAGTGGTTACATTAAAGTCCATTTGACAATAGAAAGAATAACAATAAACCAAACTGAAAATTTATCTCTTAACTCAAAACCATAGGCAAAGAGGCCCAAGGACACAAAGAGTTATGAAATTATTCTTGCAAAATAAAAAATCTTTTAAGGCAATTCTCTTAAATAACTATAAGTAAAAGCTGTATTTTAGGACTGTGAAGTAAAACTTACTATTTACCAAGGTAAGTTAGCCTTTACCTTGGAGAAACTCTGTCAAAATAATATTATCAAGATTATTTCCTAAAACATCATATTAATTAAAAATATTTACTCTTACTAATATATAAGTGGAGCTAATATCTCATCTTCCCAATCACAGTAAGACCTAAAAAAAGTACCCATTCGGAAAAAAAAATCTCCATTTCATCATTTATTCACTCAAATGTACTTCAGGCGAGCTTGATACATGAAAACCCGCTCATATTGTGAAGTGCACATTGAAATATGATTATTTTTTCATTTTATGGAATGACTCACCATGGTTATTTTGCCCCTGTTGAATCTAAAATAAGTTCTGATTTATACATATAGCATTTCTTATGTAAAGCTTCAGAAGCAGCTACTATTTGAAATAGGCAGCTTACTAATAGAAATATATTGAACTACCCGGGAAAGAGTAAGAAGCTATCTAGGTAAGTGAACTACAAATATCTCTTTCTATAGAAAATCATAAGGTGATCTTTTTAGTTCTTCTGAAGAAACTAGAAGATATCACGCATTATAAAAACCTATATCTTAAACTTACATTCTTTCATCTAAAATTTAATCTCAATGTGACACTTCTCTTTAATAGTAACATTTTAATTTGAAATTTAAAATCACATCGTTTATAGCTCTAAATGTTTTCAGTTTAGGCTCTAAAAGCCAATAGGATTGTTTTTGGTACATTTTAGTCTAGGTTTAGCATATTTGGTACATTTTAGTCTAGGTTTAGCATTGTCAGTGAATAATAATTTTTAGAAAGTCTTCCTCATTCTAGCTGAGGTCAACCAAGGACACTGATTATGATGCCCATGTTTACATAATTTTAAAACTCCCTCAAAAAATGCTAACAAAAGAAAGAACTGGTAATCTCTAGATATGTACAAGGCTATGGCCACACACACACACACACACACACACACACACACACACACACACAAGGCCTGATGCACAAAATTCATACAAGGGCCGTGGCCCAGCCCCCACCCACCGCCACCACAGCCAGGGCCCTCTGCTGCCTGTACCGTGGCCACCACCCACTGCACTTTAAATATTTGTTGTAGTTGATTTTTTTGTTTGTTTGTTTTAGAAGTTGAAATATATTTTAAAAATGGTGAAACATTTTGACATTTGTGATTTTTATTTCCCTCATCTGTCAGATGATATTTATTGAGATGATTGATCAGATCTGTGTCTAAAATTCTCAGACTTCTATCATATTGTATAACTTTGCAACTTTTATTCAGAAGTTGGTATACACATGATTATTGTTATACTAGAGGCCCAGTGCATGAAATTCATGCATTGGGGGTTCCCTCAGCCCAGCCTGTAACCTCTCTAATCTGGGACCCCTTGAACATCCCTCTCACAATCCTGGACCACTGGCTCCTAACCGCTCCCCTCCTGCCTGGTTGCCCCTAACTGCCCCCTACCCCCACTGGCCTGATTGCCCTTTACTGCCTCTGCATGCTGGCTTGATCGCCCCTAACTGCTTCCCCCCACCCCCACCAGCCTGGTCACCCTTTACTGCGCCCCCTGCCAGCTTGGTCGCCCCCAACTGGCTCCCTCTGCTGGCCTGGTTGACCCTAACTGCCCCCCCGCCCCCACACTGCTGGTCTGGTCACTCCAAACTTCCCCCTCCTGCTGGCCTAGTCACCCCTCACTGCCCTCCCACCAGCCTAATTGCCCCCAACTGCCCCCCTGCAGGCCTGGTCACCCCCAACTGCCCCTGCTGGGTGGTGGTCACCCTCACATCCCCCCTGCCAGCCTTGCACCCCACACAGCCTACTGCTCAGTCGTTTGGTCTTCCCTCACTAACCCCACTGTGGACCAGGTTGTCTCACACAGCCTGCTTGTTCAGTCATTTGGTGGTTCCTCACTAACCCCCCTGCTGGCCTGGTCCTAGGCAGCCATCTTATGAGGGTGTGACAATAAATTTGAATATTACCTCTTTATCATATAAGATTATATAGGATAAGAGCCCTACTACAAGTTGGAGATGACAAGGGATTATTTTATTATATTATACCATACCAGGAAAGGAGTTAGTTAGAAAAATAACACTCCATGCAAGAGGTATCCCAGGTGAATTCTAAGATTTGGCTTGTAAGTATTTTATCTTTCAATAAATAGGAGTCATTATTTTTCCTTTAAAGTGTTATATTCCTGTCGTAAAATTTTAAATTTCCATTCTATAACATATCATTTAACTAAAATAATTTAGTTAATTGTGTTTCTTTAGGATTTTATATTTTCAAACAACCTGTAAGATCCTTAGAGCAGGTACCATTATCTGAGTTCCCTTCCAGGTTTAGGAGATTAAGGATATATCATGGAACCTTAATCACTGGTTACAATGAGAGTTATAGTAATAAAAGTAACCACAACTCTTTAAGAACTACAAATCTTTGTCTATATTCCCTGGAAAAATAGTTACAAGTTAGTGGAAATGTTTGTGTGAGGCAGAGGTTGTCTAACCTACTATGATTGATACAAGGATTTCTGGAGTAATGATCAAAACACAATAAAAACCAAAACAAAAATAGAGCATCTTAGAGAAACTCAATAGCAATTTGAAGTCTCTTGATACTCGAATTTAATCAGCCCAACCAGCAGAGGAGTGATATAATTTTTATATGCCCCAGAAATAGGATGAAAAAGGAACATATTGATCTAAGTAAAGACTAAAAGTTGTGTAATTTTTTTATGGGACATTCTTATATTAACCAAATCAACTCAAACCTCTATGCTGTTATGCTGTGTGTAGTCATTTGAAATTCTAAATTTATTTTAATGAGCAAACTTTAAACCCCACAAAATATGAAATGGAACTATCCAAGGTATATAATGTGGTCAAAAGCCAGCTAAGTACCAATGATGTAAGGAATATTTTATTTACTTACATATTAAATATATATTTATATTATATATGTGTGAAATACATAGTAGTTTTTTATATATAAACATTTACTATAAATGTTTATATATGGAATAAAATAAGATATATGATGAATTATACTATGAAATCTTTTTTAATATTATGTTATTAATAATAATAAGGAACTATCAACCAGTAGAAACAGTTTACACATTCTCTTATTCTTAGGGTTAGAAATAATTAATTCAAGTCTGTTTCCTGTCATCCACACTCTGCATCTTGATGAGCCTTGTTTTCCCATCACTAACATCTATTTATCAATAGTTTTACCAGTTATCAGTCTTCTACCTTGTTTCCCTGCCTCATTATCTTCATTGTTACTCCTAAAGTTATAGAATTTTAGATCTAAGTGGGGCATAAACAGTTATCTAGTCAAAACATTGTACTCATGAGAAAAACAGGCAAAAATCTAAGCAACTTTTTTCAGGATCTCCCAGATATTTAGCATGACCACTTGGACTTAGACTTAGCTTTGGTGCTTGTCTAGTGCTTTTCCATTTGATAATACTGTAATGCAGTCTCTCTTATCATGTGCTTCCATATTAATTGCTTCAACATTGGAATTTTATAAAATCTCAACTTCCTGCCTCACTCTGACAAATTTCTTCCTTTATTTGTTCAACTTCCCTAACATCCCAATATCCTGGGAAAAATACAAGAGCTAATTTCCATCAGTATTTCAAAGAAAGACTAATAGCAGATGTTAGAGGAAGGAAATTGTTTATTGAGCACATGCTAGATGCCAGGCACAGTGCTAAATGTTTTCACATTACCTCACTTAACCTTCACAACAGCACTGGTAGATGGGTATTATATCCGTTTCAATAATAGAAAACAAAGACTCAGATGTTTTATCATACGTGTCCAGATGCTACATTATTAGTAAGCACTGGCAATGAGGTCAAACCCAGTTCCACCAGACTGTAAAGCCCACATTATTCCACAAAAACTTGCTACCTGAATCAGCCCTTTTGCATAGAAAACAATGAGTTGGCTATTTTTGATCAACAATCATGTAAACACTGTTGGAGATACAAAAGAAAAATGGAGCATGACTTTAGCCATTGAACTAATTTATAGTAGATTTAAAAATCACGAATTATGATACAACAAGAAATTGTATATTAAACCATGTTTTATTTGCAAATGCATTTGGAGTTAAGAAAAGAGTATCTAATTGGACTGAGTATCATTAGAGGAGAAAAGACTAGAAATGAACATTTAAAAATATGCAAAATTAGGATGAAGTAATTTGAGTCAGAATACTCTAAATATGAATGTAGACAACGAGATATTTTCCTATATGTCACTATATAAAAATGTGTATGGTGTTTGTGTGGTACAGTGGTAAGACTGGTTATACTGATGGGACTGATGGTGATTGATCATGAAACAATGCCCAGCAAGATGGTATAGGAAGGATGAGCTCAGATGGGATTGGGGGAGTCTTAAAAAACAGAAAAGAGTGTTGACCCACAAATATAGACAATAGACACTTTAGCAAGGTAATAGCACTTGTGTACAGAGTACTAAGAATGTTATTTTAATAATAGTTATAGGATTAAAAAAGACATACTTTGAATGAAGAAGTAATGGGTCTTAATTCCAATTTGTACACAAGAAATAGGGGAGAGGAAGTTAGAATGGCTATAAGATTCCTATCTTTGAAGCTGGCCACTACTAGAGGTAACACAAAAAGTGAAATGATATTTGTTAGGACTCTCAATAAACTGAGAGAAATATTATTTTTCAGCTGTCATTTATTATATTTAAAGTTGTCTTTGACCAATGGTCTGTTCAGTTGGAAATATAGCACTTACTTGAACACAGCTAATATCACAAGAGTAAATAATGACTAGGTTTATTAAGTACATAAAAATGTTGAGTGAAAGTCATAGCTGTAATAAGCATAAGCAAAGAAGTAGAGTTGGACTGATTACAAAAATCAGAGAACAATCAGGAAAAAAAAAATCAATATTAAAGGTGCCAAAGATGAAGAATTGCTCAAGAACCTGATGGGTGTGGGTCTATTGAAACAAATAAAGCAGTGAAATTGAAATCCCTTTTGGGGATAGATGTAAATGCAGTTTTATGCAACTGTTTGCCCAGTATTTTCTACCTTTTGTTAGGGATTGCTCCTCCATGTGTATGATTATGTTAGTCTGCCATGTTTTCATGTGGACTCCACCCTCTGCCAGACTGATTAAACCAGAAGTGAGCATCTAACCTACGTAATGCCAAAGAGTTCCCCTCTTATGAGAGTACATGAACTGGAACTGAAAAAGAGAGCCCTTCCTTTTTCAGTGCAGAGGTTACAAGAGGTAAAACCAGTGATCTATGGATAAGCATGTTTCCTGATGAAGACAAAGGCACAGTGGTCATTTGGGCTACATCAAAGCCCTGGTTAAAGCAATTTCTTGGAGCTCAACTACAAAATTACCCTTTATGTGGTTTGGTAGTCTATCTTGCCTTTTCATTCCACAAGTCATCCTCTCCCCACTTTAAGCTAGTTTGAGGGGTTTTTTCCCCCTCTTTTGTGCCAAAAGGAATATTTTGATTAATAAACTAAATAAATGCTTTTCTTATTCATTCATTCCAATTTCTTTGTATAATTAAGGAGGAAACATACATGTCAACACACACATTCACAGATGCCTGCTCTAGTAATCTGAACCAAAACTATGGCTAAGTTACAAATGCATTTCACCAACTATTTCTTCTCTGTGTGATTACTACTGAAACATTTTATTAGATCAGCAATTTTCAACTGGAGTGCTGCAAGAGGCACACTGGTGTGTGGCAAGAATTTTCTAAACATGCAGCACCTGACTACTTAGTCAGGGTACTACCTCTTTTTCCTTAGATTGCCAAATTAAAAAAATGTCAAGAGCCAACACAACAATAGCCATCGGTGTGAATGAATCAAAATTATAATTTTTTTTTCCCAATTGTCAAAACAATTTTTTTGGTGTGTCACAAGATTTTTGTAATTAGTTTGTGTGCCATGAGATGAAAAAGGTTGAAAATTGCTGTTTTAGGTAATTCAATTTGAAATAACTATGCCCTCTGTTGTACAGAAATTAAATTGTGTGTTCCTTTCATTGGATATGAATTTTTAAGAGTCTGTGTGTGCTAAAATTCATGATTATGGAGCTAGATTTAGATCTGATGGTTTTGCTAGACCGATATTTCCAGCAAGAATGACAGTGAGCCGAAACCAGTTTGGCTCAGTGATAGAGCGTCCGTCTGCAAACTGAATGGTCCCAGGTTCGATTCCAGTCAAGGGCATGTGCATTGGTTGTGGGCACATTCCCGGTAGGGGGTGTGCAAGAGGCAGCTGGTCGATGTTTCTCTCTCATTGACGTTTCTAATTCTCTCTTCCTCTCCTTCCTCTCTGTAAAAAAATTAATAAAATATATTTTATTAAAAAAAAGAATGACGGTGAAAATTTTAACAAGTTTACAACTGGTGAGACCATTATCCATCAGACTGACAATCAGCATTCAAAATAGTTGAATTTTAGACCTTATCATTGAGATTCTCTATAATATTTCTTTAGATATTTTTTCCCTGTGGGGAAAAAAAGACTATATTTTTTGTTTCAATGTAGCACAGATGGGTTTCTTTTTTCGTCTATATCCCCCATTTTTGCCCAAGGACTTAAGTAAACTTCAAATAAACTTACCAGGTTTCCTACAGTCAACACAGTACTGAATTGGCCAGTCATTGGGTAGTGCTCCATGGCCATAAAGAGGGTGTTTAAGACAATGCAAATAGTGATGGCAAGATCAACAAATGGGTCCATCACAATTAAATTCACAAGATGCTTCACTTTTAACCATGTATCACAGCAGTCCCAGATCAAGAACACATTGGCAAATCTGTACCAGCAGGGTGGACATTTCTGCCTAGATTCTTCAAGTTCTAGAAGAAGAATAAAAAAGAGTTAGTAAAAAACATTGAAAATGAATTTTTGCTCTAGATTATACATTATTTTTGTAAAATTGACATTTCTACTTGTGGAATAGAAGTTGATAAAACAGCTTAATAAACTTGAAAAGACAATCCCATTAAATATTTTCATAAAATGTTCATTAAAAATGTCATGAATAGACTTTATTTCTCCTTTAAATACAAAAAATAAACACTTTGAATTTATTATTTTGCTTCAAACTAACTTCATTCCCTAATAACTTAGATAATAGTTAATTAAATTGCTATATTATCTCATCAAAACAAGATTTTATATCAGCTTTATAGGAATATTAAGTGTATCAAATAATTGTTGTTTAATTTGAAAGTATCTTTTTGAAAACACTGTTTAAAGATGTGATCTTTATCAATACATGTGACTTATTCTTTCCTCTGATTTTTTCCACAATACCCCTGATCTTACCAACAATGATTATACAGTATATATATCCAATATATCAAAAGAACAGGATACAAATGTAACTGATGATTTCTAAAGAACATATGTTAGGTATGACTTATTAATACACATTGCCGTACTAATTAAATATCCTTCTAAACTTCAAGAAGTGATGACTTATTTAATGAATGAATAAGGGACTAATAATTATGACCCATTCCCATGTGTCAAAATTAGTAAGCATTGTGTCAGCTCTCTTTTGAAGAGATGTAATGGTTTCTGTGAATGTGGAAGATGGGGGAGAGATTGTTTAGGGTCCTTGTTGAAGGTGGAGCTCATGTTTTGATTTGTCCAACTCACTCATATGCTTCTCTGAACTCTATTACCACCTCCTTGCCTGGAAAACACGTTAGAGATTGAAAGAGATGTTTCTTTGTGCTTCTTTATACCAACACTTAAAAAAGGAAGTGTTTACTCTAATTGTTTAAGGATAATGTAATATAAGGATAAGTAATCACTGATATACTATCAAGTGGGGAAGTGTCACTCTGCAGAGATAAGGACCGAAGTAAAAAGGAAATAAGAACAATATTAGTTTTTATAACCAGTGGGAACATAATATGTTCCATATATCATCTATTTAGGTCTAGTATATAGTTCTGATCCTGGGTAATTAACCATGATAATATAAAAAGAAGACTTAGGTTCCACAAAGCATATGATCATAGAAAGCTGCCCAATCCATGGCTGCTCCTTACCCTCCATTGTGTTGGTCAGGATGCTAGCTATGCTCATGGCTCTCTGCCTTCCAGAGGAATCCTCTAGCATTTCCATCGAAATCTGGTACGAACTTAGCCTTCTCTTTCTGACCTCTGTTTCTGTGGTGGTGCCCTGCAAACCAAATACTGATGGCTCAAACCACCCTTTTCAATGACTAATACAACACCACATAGCATTTTTTGGAAAACCATGCTACATGCAATTTTTCCAAGTCACAATTTTCAAGCAATAAAATACTTACTTTGTTCTTAAGTTATAAACAGTTTTTTAAAAAAAATGATCATAGGTGATAGCCTTTACCAAGAATTAACCAGTTAGAATGCAATTATATAGAGAAATTATATTGCAGAACCTGCTGGGTTTTTCAGGGAAATTTTTATAAGCATGCTAATGTCATATATTGTTTCATCTTGTTCGCATTCAAATTTTCTGCTTATTTCAATAACTTGTAATCTTTCCCCCAAATAAATAATATGATTATATAGTCCCATGGGTACATTGTTTTACTGGAGGCTATATTGACAATATTGACATATATGGGCCAATTTTTTTTTCATGCACAAACACAGATGTACAATGAAATGTGTGTGCTTTCCTGAGATTTTCTTAATTATTTCTATAAGCCATTTTATAAGAAATAACATTTTAGAGCCATTTTAATAGATATCAAAATATTTAAGTCACTGTAACATTGACAGTTGTATAAAAACTGCCTATTACCTATTTGCTCACTCACTATAATATTTCATTTTAAGTATATGAAATTTCCAGAATATGAAAAATTATACAATTCTGGGTGATCATATATCTATAATGGTTTGGTTGTTAAAGTGCTCATTATTTTGTGTTGGTAGGTCTACTGAATTTACAGGTATTATTTCATCCCAGATTCAAAAAACTGAGCTTTTTTAACCTGAAGCATTTGAAAGCTAATGATCCCATACAATTCAATTGATTCTAAAAAGATCATTGTTTTGCATTCAATGAATAATACATAATCTTTAAGCACTGCTTCCAAAATGACAGTTCTTAAAAAAATAATATATTATTTCATTATTAGGCCTTGATTATTTCAAATTGGTATATACTGTCAGTAGGAGCTAACTTATCATCTATTATCACCTCTGGCAGTTGTCCAGTAGGTGAGGTTAAAGCTGATGGTCCACCCACCAAGGAAACCACACCATTGCAATCCACAGTGCTGTGCATCTTCCCATTTGCTGGAAGCCCTGGCACCATCCTGGATGACATACTGGCCTGACTAACGTTACTGTTGCGTCGCTCTCCGTGTCTGTGGGGCACAAACAGTGAGTCTCTCCTGCTCTCGCTGTCTTCAAATGTGCTGTGCTCATCATCAGCAAAGTCATTTTCAGAACCGACATCCTTGGCCCGACCTCTGAAGCTGAAAATGCTTGTTTTGCTGTTGCGTCGTGGGGAAAACAGGGAGCCACGGATACTTAGCAGAGACTGAGGAGAGCAAGGAAGAAAGGAGTGGGGGGCACACACACACAATTATTTAATGTAAGTCCCAATATTGCAGCATTTATTTTCTTTTGGGTCTAGAAGAGTCTTGCTCCTAAACCCAGGTAACCAAATTAATAGAAAACACATATGTTTTGCCAAAACTGGTTTGGCTCAGTGGATAGAGTGTTGGCCTGCAGACTGAAAGGTTCCAGGTTCAATTCCAGTCAAGGGCATGTACCTTGGTTGCGAGCACATCCCCAGTAGGGATGTACAAGAGGCAGCTGATCGATGATTCTCTCTCATCGATGTTTCTAACTCTCCATCCCTCTCTCTTCCTCTCTGTAAAAAATCAATAAAATATATATTTTTTTTTAAAAAGAAAACACATGTTTTGATATTTTTATTATAGATCACAATGCAAATTTAAACATATAGTATTCATTTTTTTTACTAGAAATATTGATTTGCAATTTATTAAGTCCATGACCATTACATTTAATCTTCATCTAGTACTGTGAGGTGTATTTTTTAATCACAATGTTATAGGGCTGGAGCATCATGCTGAAGATGACAAGTGGGTTTTTTTGTTTTTTGTTTTTTGTTTTTTGTTTTTTGTTTTGGTGGGAGTGGTAGTTAAACAAGTAGTAGGTTGCTTTCTCTGCCAAATACTATGATCTGAAAGGACATACAATTTGGAAAATAAGTTATGGCTCAAGTGAGACTGTTGGCTCAGATTTCAAATATTTGTAGGAAATATTTTACTTCTGGATAATGGTTTAAAAACAAAACTAGTTTCTTTTCCTTCACATCTTTTGGATTCTGACAGGAAATTATTCTTTTTCTGGACCTGTTTGTCTCTATCCACCTGGAAGTAAAAGTCATGAAGATAATCTATGATGCTGTCTGCCAAATTTGCTAGCAGTTTCCCAAATGGCTAATAGTGATTCATGTTATTTGAGAAAATATATATCAGAGTAATGACAACAGAGAGTATTTCTAAACTGCTTAATAAATTATTTTCTTACTTAACATTTAACGCTAAGTGCTTTAAAAGGCAAGATATCGATATATATACTTGACTTTGCTAAACAGGGTGATATAAAACACAGCTTATCTTTCTGATCTCATTTTAATTTTATTAAAAGAAACTGGATGATTCAAAACCATTTTGCATTACACGTGTTCACAAATAAATCAAGTTAATAGTTTCTGGTACAGGAAGATGAGGATTTAGCATGAGGTCTCTTCTTTCACTGTTTGGATAGATTTTAAACACACAGCACCGAATAATTCTACTTTTAATCTAGCCTTGGTGATAGTTTTCAAAGACATCTTTATTCAGTCTGCAGAATCTTTGTTTATTCCCTTTCTCATTTAATGTGATTCCTGTTGCTCCCCCAGTTCGTCTCTCATGACCTCTCCTATGGCTCTGCATAGCCAGGGCAATAATGTATTCACACATATAGATACATGTGCATACATAGTCATATGTCAACATAAATATGCACGGACCCTCCTTTCTTTCTCCAAGCTTCAGTGTAAAACCAAATAAAATCATTTTAGTGGGGAAAAGCATTGGGAAGGCAAACTCCATCCAATTTATTTTGGGCCCTCTGCCTAATTAGGTAATGTTGATTTTCTTGGGCCTCATTCGTAGCTTTATTTTTATGACTTTTCCCAGAATACAAAGCACTAGAATAATCTTTGTTGCCCTTTATATTAGGGATGCTCTGGGAAGATACTATTCATTTAAAAAGGTGCCATTGGTACGGTCAGCATAGCTCAGTGACTGAGCATCAATTGTTGAATGAAGAGGTCACAGTTTAGTTCCTGGTCGGAGCACGTGCCCAGATTGCAGGCTCAATCCCTGGTGTGGGAGTGCAGGAGGCATCTAATCAATGATTCTCTCTCATCATTGATGTTTCTATTTCTCTCTCCCTCTCCCTTCCTCTCTGAAATCAATAAAAATATCTGAAAATAAAATAAATAAAATGAAAAGGTGCAGTTGCTTTGGGTTTGGTTAGGTTCATCACAGGAAATATACCGACTGCCAATTGTCCAACCTGCGGCTGTGTCTGCATGACACTCATTTATCTACTCACTATCAACAGCGGTTAGGTGAATTTCCACTCATCAAACTGATAAAAAAAATTAGACATTTTGGAGAAATTAATTGAGCCCCCATTAAAAAGAATGCTAATGTTTTAAATCTCCTCAGATTCAATTTAAATGATCAGTACCTTGGTGATGTCCAGACTTGTTTTTGAAACTTTAATGTGCACTTTTAGGTCCTGGCCTTCTAAAATTAGGATTCAGTGAGAGAGGGTAGGACTCTGGAATCTGAATATTCACCAGGTGGTTCTATGCAGGTGGTCCTCACTCTATACTCTTACGTTAATCCCTAGGTTGGGTCAGAATAATCATCTCAATATACTCATGTTCAGAGGCCATCTTTGGCAACTGAAATTCTGTATGCAAAGGTTGGGAGAATGTGGTACATTCATAATCTATCCTGTACATGCCTTTAATTTGCATGTTTTTAAGTCAGGGTGTCTTCAAAGGCGGTCCAGATCTTTGAGTTTATTTGAAACTTCTATTCACTCTTTAGAAAATATAATAATGGGTGTGAGCACAGCTTTCAAGGCAATGGAGACTGAAAAGGGAGATGACAAAAATAGTATTCAGAGAAAAGAAACCAAAAATAACACACTACAAGATACAGCAGAGTACAGGGAATACCCACAGCTGCGGCAGGCCTTTCTCCAGGGAAAACAAGCTTTTGTGCTCTAAAGAGCGAAAGATCATCTTTCTTTGCCTCAGGCACGCCAACACGTCCATCCCAGGGTTTTATGTTACCTTGGGCCCAGAAGGTAAATCTGAACTTTTTCTTAGTTTTCAGTAATAGAAGGGAGAATAGAAGGAATCAGGTCTGTAAAACACAATGCAGGGCTGAACTCAAGTGGTTTTGGAAAAGTCAAGCTGGAGCACGATGCAGGGAATTTGAAGATGTTCTAGTAAATGCACACAAAGCCATTATTGGAGAGAAATGTCCACTCAATAATATTTCAAGTTACAAGTATGTTTCTTATCAATGTTTTCAATTATCCAACTATTATACTTTGTTCTAGCTACATAGCTACAAAACTTGTGGTTTAAAATACGTTGTCTCAGTGTTTTCAAACAATATAAATGAAATCTTGGCGGGAAGGGATTTACTTTCCATTGTACAACTCTGAACACTTTTTCCATTTTGTATTATAAACATTTATTATCTATTTAAAAATAAAATACCATATGGCTTCTCTGCCTTGAAGTTTTCAGAAAATATATTTATTTTGAACAATATACCCTGCCCAGCTTATGTTTCTTGACTCCACTACCTTCATTGATTCTCATCTCCATCAGAGTCCTTTTTAAAAAAAAATAATTTCTTTATTGATTAAGGTATCACATATTTGTTCTCAACCCCCATTCCAATCCCTCCTCCCCTGATGCCACACACCCCTGTTGTCCTTGACCACTGGTTAGGCTCATATGTGTGTACATAAGTCCTTTGGTTGATCTCTCCCTTTTATCCCCACCCTCCCTTTGAGGTCCAACAGTCTGACCCTTGGCTCCTTCTCTCTGGGTCTGTTCTTGTTCATCAGTCTATGTTGTTCACCATTTCCCCTAGATAGTGAGATCATGTCCTACTGGAAATATACTTAGGAAAGTAGAAGAATATCATGTAAGGAAAAATATCCTGAAAGTAAATCACATCTAGAAAATTTGTACTTTAGAAAATTAATTGTAATGCTATCAGTAAGACACCCATGAAAAACACACATGGTGTCCAAACAAGCCAGATAAAATCATTTGGGCAAAAAATGAAAAAAGATCCCAAGTCAAATTTGTAGAAAATATTACTTTATTTACAAAACTAGAAATTATAATCTGCTTCTGGAATATTTTTTGCTTGTGAGTTGTGTTAATGCTCTGTGTCTTTTTACTGAGGAGAGTAGATATTGATAGGCTTTTCCCTTTAATTTTTACATATCTATCTATCTATCTATCCATCTATCCTTTATCTGCCTATCTACCTACCAATCTACTTATCTCACTATCTCTGCATTTACAAATATAAAATGAACTGCATGTAAAATGTGTATATTTTTATTCTGATTTTAGTATTTAACTCTGGCTGTCAGCTAATCCCTCTGCTGTGCTTCTCCATGGCTCCTCAGCACAGGCCTCCCAGCTGCCTGTGGGCATCCCAGGCACACTGCCGCACTAGGGAGCTACTGGCACTCGCTGGAAGAGCCCACAATGCTCTTCCATGAGGTAGCCTCTTTCCATCTCTAAATGTTTGCTGAAATGTCTCTTTTACAGTGAGGTTTTCCACACCACGCTATTTAAAATGTTTATATCTAGTTAGTGATCTCGATTCCCATTTTCAAGTTTACTTATTCCTATAGCACTTAGCACCTTCTAACACAGTCTATAACTTATTGTCTGTCTCCTCCTGTAATATAAAGTTCCCCGAGGTCAGTGAATTGTATTGCTTTTGTTCACTGAGATATTTTCAGCATCTAGAAGTGTTTCTGCCACACAGCAGGTTATCAATAAATATTTGTTGATTGGCCAAATGAACTAATCCACAAGTTTTTATTGGAGCACCATGATGAAACAATGGTGAGCAAATATTGATTTTCAAAATCACATAAATATATTCATATGAATGTTGCTAATGTGCATTTACATTTGTGAGTTATTGAAACTACTCAAATTTCTAGTTTCTCATTTAGAATTCATTTACCTATTTTAACTTAATAAGAGCTTTACTATTTGTCACATAGGTATTCCATATTGTTTAATCCCCCACAACTGTTTAAGGCAGAGATTATTATCCACTATTTTACAAAGTTAAAGTGACTCAACCATAGTCACAGAACTAATTTGGAGTTGAAATATGAACATGGGCTTTGTGACATCAATCATTAAGCTGTGATGTCAAATACTACTAATCCTAACGACTTCTAATAATCTTAATAATGCTAAACTATGTCAGAGATAACAATTTAAGCCAAAAAGAATCTGGTCCTATAGACGCTCAAGCTAAACCCAAAAGTGTTCTACTGATGTACTATCATATGTTATATTTGTATTATGCCAGATAGTTGTTGAATCTCTTGATACCAGCATTATCTGTAGGAAACGGTGTTCATCTTATAACTTTTTGTGTGTACATGTTATTTTGTCCTAATATGAAAATTCAAGCTATAAATTATTAATATAGAGTTAATATTTATTTTATTTGCATAGTAAATGTAAATTATAAATTAAATATCCATTGATAACTTGTATATGCCTTTTGTTCCCAACCAAGAACTAAACAATGAAATTTGTCCTTACTCCAATTTTTAAAGAAGTTTTATAAGAAGTTTGTTTTGTGTTTTGTTTTTTTTTCCCCCCCAGGAAACATATCAGTTATTTAATCAGATTCTTATAAGAAATTCAGAACACCACTTTGTGAGGATAAAGTGCATTGGTGAGAGCAGAGCATGGAGGTATCCCTGAAACTGAGGAACAGCTTTGATTTTTGGCAGAATTTGTGAGTCCACAGCTTTCTGGTCAACCTTGTGCTGTTTTGTAATCTCATATTTCTCTGTGCTGAAGATCTCACCCTCCTCGTGTCTGGGCTTGCACAGCTCCTCCTCCTCTCTCTCCTCTCCCCATCCCCCCCCCTCCTCCTCCTCATCCTCCTTCTCCTTCTTCTCCTTCTTCTTTTGAGGAAGCATCAGTGAGATGTTTGGGGATTTTTATCTCACTGATATCAGTTTTGGTGGAGGTGGCAATGACATATTTCTGATGTGTTCTTCAAAGAGGAACTCAATTGAGGGACAGAGGTCCAGTCACAAGTAGCAAGCCACTGCTCAGTGTTTCAGAAAAACACTCTCTTGCTTCTGTGGATCCCACTGAGAATGATCAGAATGGTCCCAGGAGTGATGCTGGCCCGAAATTTCCTCACATGCTGAAGGGTTTCTTGCCATGGCTCAATAGTTTTCAAGGCACATCTTCAGTGGGTTAATACCTAGGCATTTTGCGGAGTTTAACCACTCGGGTGCCACCCTTCTTGTCGCCACCAACTGGTTTTGTGACAATAGCAAGAACTTTCTCCTTTTCTTTTCAATCCTGGGTTTAGCTGCCGAATACTTGCTCTTGTATTAATACATGGCCTTTTGCGAATACATAGCTGGCTAGAAATATCTGTCAATTCCTCTGTCGAGGACGAGGTTTCGGCTGCAGTGGGTCTTCCCCTTCTCAGGTGCCTTAACCTTGCCACCAACATCAGCCTACTTCTTGGCTTCAGGCTTCTCCTTCTCCTTCTCCTTCTCCTTCTCCTTCTCCTTCTCCTTCTCCTTCTCCTTCTCCTTCTCCTTCTCCTTCTCCTTCTCCTTCGTATCCGGCTTCTCAGTTTTCTTTTCACCCACCATCATGCAAGATGAGAAAGAGAACTAGAATTCTATTCTGTATATGAAGGACATATAGCCCTTGATTGATGTATAATGTTTTGCTCTAACTTAATTTTAATTATGTAGAGTATTTCTCAAAATATTACCTTTAGGGTATAATTATGACCCAGATTAATATGATTAGAAGAGTTAATAAGTCATTATACATGAACATTTAATGAACCAGTATTCAAAGTCATAAGTACTTAATCACCAATTTCCTAACTATTTACTCTTTATATTAAGTAAAACGTATTGCGGACAGAAAGTTAAAACAATTTTTTCTCTTTGACTTGACATATGCTAAAGAATTGATTCGCTGGCATTAAATCAGAACAAAAATAGACCATCTTCAATTTAGTTCTCTTCAAGAGTATTTTGGTCATAATTTCATTCGAGTGAATCATAGCACGACACCAGATCAGGATAATGGAGACTCACAACAACACAGTTCTCCTATCAGAAGATAAAGGCCAAGTCCAGAGACATTTCTTTTCAAGATTCATACATATGTTGCAATCAGAACCACAGATAATAAAGACAGAAACCCAGATGTAAAGAAGATAAATTAATCCGAGGCCTCAGAAAGGAAAGATAAGCAAAGGATTGTAAAACTATCTCCCTGAAAAGTATAATAGAGAGGTTTTTCTCCCCACCACACCCGCCCTCTCCCCCCAAAAAAAGCAGATGAAGAAACATCATCTCAAAATAGGGCAACATTTAAAGCTGATTACCTTAAATTAAAAGTGAATCTAATACACACACACATGATCTCTGAAAGCATAACAATCTAGTCACCAGTGTATATCCTATATAATAAAAGGCTAATATGCAAATTGTCCCCTTGACACAGGAGTTCAACCAGCAAGCAGGCCGGCTAATCGCCATGTCCCTTTCCCCTGGCCAGGCTGACCAGACCCCACCCATGCATAAATTCATGCACTGACCACCAGGTGGCAGACGCTCAATGCAGGAGCTTTCATGACACGCACTTGCCATTTACAGAGAAAGGGCACTGTGGACCTGGCACTGACAAGGCAACACTTGGCTTCCCCCAAGTGGGACACAGACCCCACCACCACCCTGGAGTGACAGCCCACCAAGTCACAGCTAATGCTGCTGAGACCCCATAGTGCAAAATGTGGCTCACAACCCAGGCCAGCCCAGAAATGGTGGCTATGGGTGCTGGGTAATGACATCACATAGCAATGACAAGCCTCCTTGCAGATTCTTCAGCCCAGGAACAAGACTTGCTTCATAGATAGTTGGAAATATTTCACACTGTAACCAAATGTCTGAAGCATTTTCCTGTGCCTCATTTCATTTGATCCTCACAGAAGTCCTAGAGCAGGTATATAGGAGACTTGGTGGAATCCTATTTTCTTTCCATTAGCCAGAAAACAGTGATTTAGAAAGTTTAGAAAATTGATCTGATTGAAAAAAAGTAAGAAATGGTGGACCTTGAAAATGACTTCAGGTTTTCTCACTGCACGGAAAATAGTCAAACACTGCTGCAATTAAATATTTTACCCTTTGTTCTCCCTCCTTGTGTGATTTATAATAATAATGTGCTTTGTGTTGATATTTACTGCTGTGTTGCTGACAATTAACTGAAAGAGAAGTTAGGGTGCTTCACTGGGCTGGAAAAAGTTTAGCTACATCAGAAAGCAGGTCTGATTAAGCAAGTTTATTATCTATCCATATAAGGCTAAGTTGACTACACATGTGCGATACATATAAACCTCTCGCTGGCACCAATCATACGTGTGTGTTTCGATCTGTTATTGTCGATCGTGAATTTGACACTTCTATCATAGGGAAAGGGCAAATAGCAATATTAAAATATTTATTCTAATTAATTTCCTTTCAATGTGCATAGATTCATGCACCAGGCCACTAGTGGTTTAATAAAAGTCTTGTTTAAAAATAATTTATGATACAAATGTAAATAACTATAATAAATGTTAGTTACCTGCCTTTCATTTAAATCAAATATACAAAACAAAACACAGCAATTAACAAGCAATAGCAATGCCAAAGTAAATTGGAGCACTTGGTAGAAAGCCATACCTGATGAGGGGAGTAGAATTTCTTGTCACTAGTCAGGCGGTTTCCATCCATGGAAAAAAGGAAGCTTCTTCTCTTGACACTGTCTTCGGATTCAGATTTGGGAAACCTGTCTCCCTCGCCTTTGTTGTTTTCTTCAAGGTGCTCCCTCTGTCTTCTCTTCTTCCTTCTGTTCCTCCACTCCTTTGCACTTTTGGAGCTTAACTTTGAGGCTTCTGAGGAACTTTCCAAGAGCTCTCCCAGACCACCTATTCCACTAAAATCTCTTGAAGCAGCTGATGCTGCTGCAACTGCCTGTTTAAAACAGAGCGAGGTACTGGTTAGAACCTATGACTCTGAAAACAGTTCAATGGTAAATTGTTGCCATTTATGGCTATTAATTATATGTGAACATGATGTCTTCTGGTCACTTCATTGTGCTTTTACTCTAAGAGTTCCATTAGTAATGACACCGTTTTACGTACCATAAAGCAATATGCATTAGGACAAGTAAAGTCTGGTTTGGCACATCTGAAAAGATGTGCCAACTCTGTTGAGATTAGCTTCATTTCAAGAGATAAAAAATACCTTCTACATTATAAAAGCAAATGTTTCTTTTCATGGTTATTGGTCTGGTTACTATTCCAACTCCATCCACAGGCGTGTTTCTTCTGAAACATGGGATTGCGAACAACTGAGTGGTATTTTTTTCCTCCTAAATCTAGGACAAAATATTTGTGTGTTTGTGTGAACTCAAATCATTTAAAGTGTTTACTATTTATCTCTCGATAGAAGTTATGGGAATGTATTGGCTAGTTTTTTCTCTTATTTCATTTGAATTACATTTATGACTATAGTTCACATCCTTAGTGTCATGTTAATCCCAGAGATCAATATGATTAATTTACTGCATAGCACTTTTAATTTCAAATTCTTCAATATTATAAATTATTATAATGAATAATAATACATGCTAACATATCAGTCAATAAGTACCTAAAATTATCATTCAAGGGTTTATGATGATTTTTCAATGTTTTTCCATATTTTAGTACATAGTGAAGCGTTTCAAATTTCTGTACATGCTAAAGAAACACAGCCAGCTCTAAGATAAAGTATGGCAAACATTTTGTATTTTTATTTATATGAATAGTATTTTTAGACTGGAAATTATGTAAACATGACTAGAGAGGATAGGAAATAGCAATATAGTGCATATTAAAGCTGAGTTCTCATTAAGTATATTCATGTTTTTAAACATAATCAAGGAAGTGGAAATGAGGATACTGGAATATGAAGATACGGGTTCAACTCTGTACATATGTCATTCCTGAGTATAAATAACTCTAACTTATCTACCATTTTGTTCTATCTTTTCCACTGGACTGTAAGTTAGACAAGACTTCTGTCATGTTTTGGTGTGCCTAGTATTACCTGACATAAAAAAATGGGGGCTCAGTTACTATTTAGTAAATAAGGATAAAAAAAGACATAATGTTATCTCTTGTTTTGGACACTGATGTGGGGATGGGGGAAGAATAAGACATACCTAGATTTGACTTTTCTAGATCTCAGAAGACTATCAGGATGTATAACAGAAATATATTTTAGGAAAGAATGAAGATAAAATTTATAATACTTTGACATCATGCTGTGCTTTATGGTTCTTCCTCCCTAGGGAGAAAGAAACTCTAAGTTTCCACATTTCTGAATCTCATCTCAACTTGAAAAATATATATAGCCGAACCGGTTTGGCTCAGTGGATAGAGTGTCGGCCTGGGGACTGAAGGGTCCCATGTTTGATTCCAGTCAAGGGTATGTTCCTTGGTTGCGGGCAAATTCCCGGTAGGGAGTGTGCAGGAGGCAGCTGGTCGATGTCTCTCTCTCATCGATGTTTCTAGCTCTCTATCTCTCTCCCTTCCTCTCTGTAAAAAATAAATAAATATATTTTAACATTTATTTTTAACATTTTCTTATAACATTTTCTTATAAAATTTCTCTCTCTCTCTCTCTCTCTCTCTCTCTCTCTCTATATATATATATATATATATATATATATATAAAGAGAGAGAGAGAGAGAGAGAGAAATTTTATAAGAAAATGTTAAAAATAAATGTTAAAAAAAAAAATATATATATATATAGAGAGAGAGAGAGAGAAATTTTATACATATATATATATATATATATATATATATATATAGAGAGAGAGAGAGAGAGAGAGAGAGAGCGAGAGAGAGAGAGAAATACAAATTCTCTAGGACTCCCATGATTTCAGTGATGGAATTTATGGAACTACATATTTATAGTACTAAATATGTGTTCAGCTAAGCAACAGATAAAATGTAAGACAGATATTTGTTAATATTGAGTACTATATTAATTATGGAAACTCAGGTCTAAAACTTGGTATAAGCAATGCCCCGCATTCAGATGAAACATTAATTCAGAATTTGGGTATTTACAGAATTGCATATAGTCAGATAGCCAGACTTTTATTGAATTCTTGGTCATCAGCATTACTTCTAACATCATCAGTGATGAAAGATGAGAAATATTATGAAATACTTTAAAATATGAATATGTTAAATATAAATATTTGCAAAATAAATGAAAAAATGAAGCACATTTTTGTAGCAAGTCAAATATAGTTTATTATGCCTGATACACAGAGTATACATAATATATACCATTGAAAGAATGGAATATACATGCATTCCCCTTTATCCAAATAAAGTCCTTAACTCACCTTTCCACTTTGAATAGACAGAAACATGCAACACACAGTGCTAATCATTTATTGTCTAGCTTATTGTTAGAAACAAAGGAAGTTGTGGTAATATTCCTTTGCCATAATCCTGAAACTCATGTTCATTTAAATCACTTCCGGAATTTGTTTTGCATTAAGACATGATTTCCCTACTTATTCTGGGTAACAGTTGGCAAATAACTCAAAACCAAAACAGATTTCTAAGGCAACAATGGTAACCTCCTGACACAACACATTTTCTGTGTCACTCACCAACTCAAAATCTGTCACTTGTTCCACTTCCAGTGATTTGATGGTCCCTCAAAGGCAGATGTTTCCTGTCACCTCTAATGTCTGATTACCTGTTTATACCTAGCTCTGTGGCATGGCCAGTGTCCTGTTTATTTGCAAATGGCTTGCTGTATTCCTCTTATAGCAAATAATACGTCCTTAACATTTTCTTATAAGATTTCTGTGTGATTCAAAATAGACTCTATAACTCTGTATCTGTGTCTTTAAAATATAAAACCACATGATTGCCAGGGATTATACTGCATTTTAAACATAAAATCCAGTTTTTTAACCCTACTCAAAACTACAAGACATTGTCCTGGCCAGTGTGCTTTGTTGGTTGAGTGCTGTCCCATGCATCAAGAAGTCACCAGTTCAATTCCTGGTCTGGACACATGCCCAGGTTGTAGGCTTGATCCCCATGATCAGCAAATTCTAAATATATGATTGAAATGAGTAACCAGCTAAGCAATTCATTGTTAAATCCCATCTCACTAAATAAATAAGTAAATAAATAAAAGCCAAAAATAAAGACTTAATATTATATGTTATGCATCTTCAAAGTAACTAAGTATTATTAAAAAGTTCAATTTTGAAACTACAATTCCAAGGATATACTGTCATTCAAATAAAGTTTCAAATATCCGGAGCCATCTATCTGGGGGGGAAAAAGAATACCTACATATCAAAATGTCACTATGTACAAAAGATTTTGTACTTCTGTTTCTGGTCAAGAAATAGTAACAGGGATCAGATTTACTCTCTTTCCTGAAACAAACAGTAAAATGGACAGAACACATGCAATAATGGTTTTGAAGACTGAATGAATGAGACACTGGGTAGAGTATTCAAAAGAATTTTCACTAAACAGTAGGGAATAATAAACAGTAGGAAATAATTAGCCCTAAACTAAATGCTGACCTAGTTCTACGTAACAAATATCAAAGTTTTGAAGATGTAAGAGGATCAGACTGTTTATAAGTAATGTAACTATGTCTCTCAAAAAGGATCAATAATTTTTATTTAAATAAAAAAATATTGAGCAACAAAAAGGTAAAATAAACAGTGTCTATAATTCAACTGAAGATTTTCAGCAATGTAAAAAAACAAAAACAAAAAAACACACAGAGGACTAGATGACCATTCATGAAGAAAATTATTAATTAAAACCAATATACATCATAGATGTTAGAATTTCCAGATAAGGACTTTAAATAGTTATTACAATTGTATTGTTTATGTTCAAAATATTAGAAATAAGGGAGATATAAGACAGATGCAGATTAAGCTTTTAGAGATGAAAACTGTAATATCTGAGATGGAAAATACCCTGAATGGGATTAATAGAAGACATTACACTGAAGGGGAAAAGATGATAAAGATATAGCAATAGAAACTATCCAAGTCAAAATGAACAAGCTGATTCTAAAGCTCAAATAAAAACTACAGCGGACCTAGAATAGTCAAAATGGCTTTGAAAAAGATAAAAATTATCACTATCTGATTGCAAGACTTATTATCCAGCTACAGTAATTAAGAATGTGGTATTGGTGCAAAGACAGACAAATAAATCAATTTGACAGAAGAGAATTCAGAAATAGATCCACTCACATATGGAGAACTGATTTTTGACCAAGGTTCAAAGGCAATTAGAGGAGGAAGAATATTTTGTTCAGTAAATAGTGCTGGAATAATTAAATATCTCTCTATATAAAAGCCTAAGCAACCGGAAGACTGGCCAGTAGCTATAACCTGTACTGATTGATCACCTGGGGGCAGATGCTCAAGTGCTGCTTAGCTGACCACCAGGTAAGCCAGATGCAGAACTTACCTGGCAAGCACAGCTGCAGCAGTGCAAGCCTCTGTGGCAGCTTTACTGAGTGGCGGCAGCAGGCATATCAGGGCTGGGATGAGTAGGAGCTTCTCCCTGGCTATCTGGCTGCCTGCCACCTTGCTCACTACTATCGACATCCCTTGGGGGATGTCGGACTGCCAGTTTTGATCCCTGGCCTGTGGGGATGGGACTGAAACCTGCAGTTTGATATCCCCTGAGGGGTCCTGAATTGTGAAAGGGTGCAGGCCAGGCTGAGGTACCCCACCGGTGCAGGAATCCATGCACCAGGCCTTTAGTCTATATATAAAACAATATCAACCCATAAAACACATTTTATACAAAAAAATCACATTGACTTAAATATAAAACACAAAACTATAAAACTTGTAAAAGAAAAAAAATAGGAGAAAATCTTCATAATGCTGGTTTGGCAATAAAATAATAAATAAATAAATAAATAAATAAATAAATAAAATAGATACAACACCAAAAGCACAATCAAATAAAAAAAATTGATAAACTAATTTATAAAAATTAAAATCTTTCATTTTTAAAAACACTATTAGGAGGAAGAAAAGACAAGTTACAGTGTGGAAAAAAATATTTGCACAGCATACATGTTATAAAGGACTGACTTATTCCTAGAATATATAAAAAATACTCAAAACTTAATAAGAAAACAAACCACTCAGCTAATATAATGGCAAAAGATCTGAACATTTCTCAATAGAAGCTATACATATAGAAAGCAAGAACATGAAAAGACACTCAACATCATTAGTCATTAAGAAAATGCAAAACAAAACAGCAATGAGATACTTAATATAATGCTTAATAAGCCTTACCATCCCCAATATTGGCAGATGTATTTGAGACAATGTAACTCTGACATGAATTAGATCTCACTTTCAACTTATATTTTCCTTTTAATAAGACACTATTATCCTTTCTCTTCTCCTCAAGACATAAGTGCCCATTCAACAGGCCCCTTGCCCAAATACGCCATAATATTAATGAGAATTTAAAGTTAGAATCTAATAGAAGGTGCCTTCCTGATGTCCTTAGAGGAGCTGCAGGAAACACTTTTTGTGCTACAGAAACCCAAAAGAATGGTTAGGAGTAGGTATACCTAAAGTTTTCTTCTTAACATTTTAGACTATTTAACTTCAGATTAAACCTCAAATAGTATAAGTAGTAAAATACAATGGTTGGAAATACCAGTGATGTCTTTTTTTCACATTAAACTGAAAGTCAGATTTCCTCTAAGCTTTCTTGAGACAATTGTATATACTAGGTGTACCAGTTAATAATGACAGATTTTGTAATTAAAAAATACAAAACAAAAAACAACACATGATAATTCAAGAGGAACATCAAAAGTGCTTTATTCAAAGTAATGTCCATTGCTAGCTACACATTTCCCCATCTTTCAGGTAATTTGTGGATATCATCCCAATATAACTTTTTGTGTTTTGAGGCAAACCATTCAGAGACCCAATTTTTCACTTAGTACATTTTGAAGTGCTACTCAGAAAGTGCATGTGTGTGCCAATGATTAGAACAAGTGGTAATCTGAAGGAGCAAAGTCTGGTGAATATAGCCTGTGGGTTAATACTTCCCAGGTAAGATCTTTTAACGTGTCTTTAACTGGTTTTAAAGTGTGTGATGGTGCGTTATCATGAAGCAAAATTACTTTGTCTTCTGGCACATTCTGGTCATTTCAGGATCAAAGCATGGTTCACATTGACTATTTGTTGTCAGAAACAATTAGTATTAACTGTTTCACCTGGTTTTATAAGCTCATAATACACAACATTTTCCTAATTCCACCAAACGCAGAGCATTGTCTTATTTCCAAAGTGATTTGACCTTGCAGTCAATGTTGATGTTGACCTGGATCAACCATGATTTTGTGTGTTTGGGATTCTCAAAATAAATCCACTTTTCATCACCAGTCACAATTCTATGCAAAAAAGACTTTCTCTCATGCCATTGAAGCCACATTGTACTGATGACTTTTCAGTTTTCCATTTGTCTTTTATTCAGTTGATGTGACACCCATTTTCCTTCCTTGAAAATCTTTCCCATTGCTAGTAAATGATCAGAAATTGTTTGCTAAGCAATGTTTAATCTTTCTGCAAGTCTTTTTGAGTTTGACAATTTTTGAGTTAAAAATATCTATGATGTTAACACCTTCAGAAAATTTGACATGAAGTTTTGAAACTTGCTGTCAATACGACAAAATAGCATACATATCAAGTCACATATATATATATCAACATGTATGTAACTCCATCTATTGAAACAAATCCGTATTATTAACTGGTACACCTCGTAGTTAACCTCATCCCAAATGTATTTTCTACCACCAGCTAATTTTCTTGTATTTAATATCTAAAAAGTTTCTTTGACTCCCAACTTCAGTAACAATTTTATATTTCTTTCCGAATAAGAATGAATGCCTGTATACCAAATGAAAATCCAGTCCCAATTTGACAGACATAATCCTACATAAAATTTTAATAATAATAATAATAAAGCTTTGTTTATTCCTCAGTACCTGAGCCTCTTCTTGCTGCTTTTTAAGCTGTTCGAGCATCTGCTGAAATTCCGCCTCTTTCTGCTCTGCCTCTTCCATGGTGGCCTGATTCTGCTCCTCATAGGCCATGGCCACCACAGCCAGGATCAAATTCACCAAGTAAAAGGAGCCCAAAAAAATCACCAGGACGAAAAATATCATGTATGTTTTTCCAGCAGCACGTAGTGTCTAGGAGGGGGGAAAAGGAATCATTTCATGAGTATTTCATATACTTTAATAAATACATAATTACCATAATTAGGTAACCAGAAGGTGAATGCTTTTTAGCATCCAATGTATTTTAACCAAGATTGAAAGGCACCCTCAATGCCTGTTATACAAGAAACTCTCAGTATATAGGTACTAACTGAATGAACAATTGGGGTCCCCAACACCCTGATTTTAAATAGTACCTTCCTCTGTATTCTAGAGTGTTACAAACAAGTATCCGTATTTGTCATTTCATGTATGTTCCTAGAATTAAGTTCTAGGCATGTTAATTTGACATCATTGTGATGGCCTATATGTCCCCAGAATTCATATGTTGAAATCGTAATGCCCAATGTGATGGCATTAGAAGGTAGGACATTTGGGAGGTGCTTAGATCATGAGGTAGGATCCTCATTAATGAAATTAATGCCTTATAAAAAGGGCTTCCAGAGAGATCCTGCGCTCCTTACACCAGGTGATGACACAGTGCTAAGGTGCCACTTCTGAACCAGAAAGTAGGCTCTGGCCAAGATAAGACCATGTTGGTGTCTTGGTTTTGCACTTCCTAGACCCTAGAATTATAAGTAATAAATTTGAACTATTTGTAAGCTACCCAGGTGTGGTATTTTGTTATGGCAGCCCAAATGGACCAAAACACTTACCAATTGGTAAAGGTTTTCCCAGTAGTCTTGAGTCATCAGTCGAAACAGGGACAAGAAAGCCCAGCTAAAAGTGTCAAAGCTTGTGTAGCCATAGTTGGGATTTCGACCAGCCTTCACACAGATGTATCCCTCTGGGCACTGGCTGTAAGGGAGAGAGATGGAGCCAAGGTCAGTGTAGCAATTACTGCTGTTTCAACCAACATTGCTCTCTGTGATTGATTTTTTTTGCCTTTCGTTTTTAGAACATTTCAGGTAATTGCTCACAGTGAAACTCTTTTCGGATGAAATTTATTAGGGAAACCAAGAGAAAATTTAGGTTCAAAAAGTCAGATTTATAGACAGTTAGATTGGCAGAGGGGCAGCAATCAAACACTTTTGTCTCTGGCACCATCAATATCCTGCTTTTTACAAACTAGCAAGGGTCACTAGTTAAAAATAAACCTGGCTGGCGTGGCTCAGTGGTTGAGCATTGACCTATAAACCAAGAGATCATGGTTCATTTCCAGGTCAGGAACATGCTCCATTTGTGGGCTCAATCTCCAGTAGGCGGTATGCAGGAGGCAGCTGATCAATGCTTCTCTGTCATCATTAATGTTTTTATCTTTCTCTCCCTCTCACTTCCTCTCTGAAAGAAATAAAAATATTTTTAAATAAATAAATAATAAAACAATAAAAAGTCAGAAAACAACCAAAGGTTAATTAAGCTCAACTTAATGAGCTTATTTGTCAACCACTTTGGTAGAATTTTCTAAGATAATATTTATATTTTAGAACAATTTTAGATTTGTAGAAAATTTGCAGTGTACAGAGACTTCCCATATGTCCCATGCCCAGTTTTTCCATATTATTAACATCTTATGGTACATTTCAATAAATATTGATACATTATTATTAACCAAAGTCCATACTTCATTAAGAATTTTATTTGGCATTTAACAATAGAGCAGTTATCAATTTTAGCAAATAAATGAACTAATCCATAGTATGTTCTCAATAAAAGGAAGTGATTGTTATTACTTAATAAGAATAAAGTAGGCATTAACCAACCTTACCCCAAATCTTATCTAGTCTTTTACATTAACAATAATAATAAAAAATAATAGGTAACATGCAATACACACTGATGATGGACCAGGTGCTAGTAATTAATCACCATAACAACCATAAGAGAGAGGTGATATTACTCTCCCCATTTTAGAAATAAGTAAACTCAGCTACAAAGAGCTTGGGACACTTTTCCAAGGTCAAAAAGTTTATAAATGGAGGAGTTAGAACTTGAACCTAGGCATATATGAACTGTAGAAGTTATGCTCTTATTTACTACACTCTAACCACAAAGGTTGGAAAAACTATCAGGGAAAAAAAAATCTCACCTAAGCTCCATCTCTAAGATTGGTATATGTTTTCAATAGCTCACTTAAACTTTTATGGCTAAAACAGTTTTTTGTTTCCTAGGATGACTCAAAATAGGTTCTGTAAGTTCTATGCTCTAAGAGTCACTTACTATTGCTATCCCTTGGATTCTAAAAAATGTACTCTCCTGATTTAAAATTAATTTATAATATTCTTTAAAAAATGTGTCAAATATGAGAGACTAGCAGGATGGCTAAGATATTGCAGCATCTGTTACTGTAGAATGTGACCAGAAAGAACTGTTAACATACAAACTCAGACTTGAATATGCCCTTGACATTCATCTGCCTCTGGGCTTCATTACACACAGGGTTTAAAGTTATTTCAAGATTATGAAGTCTCTCAAAGCTGTTCCCCAGCTGGGTTTGCACCCTGAAGACCATCTTATATTCTGGATCCGTTCCAGCCACATCAAAACTTATCGCAACTGCACATATTCACACAGTCTCCGATCTTGTGTTTCCTTCCCTGTATTTCCTAAGTGGCTCTTAAGCATTTACAGAAAGGACAGGGTATGGACATTCGCACTTCGGAGCAATAATATAAGAGCATCTTAATTGTGAAACTTTGCAGAGATCTTCACCCAAAGGGATGGTGTTAATATGAGTTTAGAACTGATAACAATCCAGTAAGACGGAGAAGGTAGTTCCGAGGTAGGCAGCACCACTCTTTACTGTATACATGTGATGCTATCCTCATATGTTTTTTCTTACCTGCTTTTTTCTAAAGTGCTCTATATCTTTAAAAAAAAATCATTCCTTACCCTGCATCTGAGCCATTCCCACAGAGTAAAGGGTCTTTGTGTCCATCCAAAACATAAAAGTGACCTGTTAATATAAAAAATAAACTAGTTTATTTTATATCAGTCCTATTGACATTGAGAAAAATGAGTTTGACTACCTCAGTTATTTCCAAAATGGACACCAATAAAATATATTTTTACAAAGATAGCTTCACACCCACAGCCTCAACTATTTATTGAAAATTCGTTCAGCAAGAGCTAAAGTTAGCAAATCCTTACTGTCATCTTCAATGTATTCCTTCCAGTCAAATGTGCTCATTGTTACATTAACAAATGTCCCGTTTGAGTCCATTGTGCCATTAAAGAAGGAAGTGGTGTTGTTTTCAAAAGCAGAATCGCTTGGGGGCCATTGCAAGCATTTATTCCGCAGGTTGCCCATGAACAGCTGCAGACCAATCAGCGCAAACACACTCAGACAGAACACGGTCAGGATCATGACGTCAGAGAGCTTCTTCACAGACTGGATCAGGGCCCCCACGATGGTCTTTAAACCTGAGAAGAGAGAATGCTAGGTCAACTGAGGAGGAGGGCCATACCCCCATGTCCCCTTAGTAGTCACATACATTCTCAGTCCCAGCTTTGTGGACAGCCAGACGGCTTGAGAAATGGATGATGAGCAGATTTCACTTGTGAACAATATGCTTTCTGGAGGTTAAAAATGAAAGTGTAAATATCTAGGCAGGAAGTTGTTTGTTTGTGTGTGTGTGTGTGTGTGTGTGTGTGTGTGTCTTTACATGCTGCTACAAACATGAAAAAAAAACACAGGTTCAGTTATTTTTCATTTCTCCTTTTGTGTTTCATGAGGCTATTTCCCTCCAAGCCATTCTTTATACTAGCTTCCATGTAGCAATGATTTAGAGAAGAAAAGAATTTTAAAATGATAAAAACAGCCAAATGCATGCTGTTTTATAATATTTTCTCTTAAAAAATATCCCTTATTGAAATAGATCTGCAGTGAATTATAAAATACAAATCAGTTAGAAAAGCCATGGTAGCAAAGCTATTTTAAGACTGTAAAAGAGAAAATTTTACATTATAAATGCAATGAAAAAAAATAAAGAGAGCAAAACTAGTATTTTCATAGACAGCTCATACAATTCCCTATTAAACTCAAAGTCCGACTTCATAAATAAGTATGTGATTTAGGAACTGGGATGCATTGAAAAATAAGTTAGCATTCTCAGAGGTAACAAGAATAATAAGATAGCTAATGCTATAAGTGTGATTTCAACTTCCCTATTATTACTGTATATTCAGACAGCCTCAGTGTTTAACCCAGCTCTCACCTGGAATAAGTGAAATTGCTTGAAGAACTCTGAATGTTCTCAATGCTGAGACATCACCCAGGTCCACAAACTCTGTCACATATTTTTTTTTTTTTTTTAAATATATTTTATTGATATTTTACAGAGAGGAGGAAGGGAGAGAGATAGAGAGCTAGAAACGCCGATGAGAGAGAAACATCGACCAGCTGCCTCTTACACACCCCCTACCGGGGATGTGCCCGCAACCAATGTACATGCCCTTGACCGGAATCGAACCTGGGACCTTTCAGTCCGCAGACCGATGCTCTACCACTGAGCCAAACCGGCTTCGGCAAACTCTGTCACATATTTGCAACAGGGAGTTCACACAAACAAAGCAACACACAAGAACAGTTAAAAATATAAGGGTCCTACCATCATACACCAGTTTCTTCTTACCTGGGATTACAGAAATTGTTTTCAAAGCTCTCAAGACTCTGAAAGTTCGAAGAGCTGAAACATTGCCTAGGTTTACAAATTCTGTTATATACCTGTAGAATAAAATCCAAGTTACTGATAGTTTAGCAAAGTTTATATTAAATAAAGAATGAAAGCCAGGTTTGACGTATTAAGTCCCTTGAGTTAAACAAGTGGAATTACTATTGAGTTCAAAGTGCCATGTGGTAAAAGCTGCTTCTAATTAATAAAATTGTGTTGCTTTATTTCAATATAATTTTCACTAATGTAAACAAATGTGTTTGCAAAATGAATCGAAGTACAGTTGGTGGTATTAAATTATAGTCAATGAATAACTTCATTTTGATGAAGTGGAAGACTATATGACATGAAAGTAATATAATTTTTAGCTCATTTATCCGATTATACTTTGTAATATGTATTCTAATATGTGTTCTCAAAATATATGGAGCATATAATTGATTTGATTAATAAGCATATTCTATATTTAAAATATGCCAAAAAAACATGATTTATGTTGCAACTATTTTCATTCCTTTGAGTTTATCAGTTTTTTCAGAAATACTCACGCCATCACAATGACACTAAAATCCAACCAGTTCCATGGATCACGAAGGAATGTAAAATTTTCTAAGCAAAATCCTCTTGCCAAGATTTTTATTAGAGACTCAAAGGTATAGATCCCAGTGAATGTATACCTAGGAAAATCATCCAAATTAACAATTTTGTTTGAACTTTTAAAATAGATGTTTTCAAATATATTTTCCTTCCATGGATTTTCAATTGACAAAAATTTTGTTTCTATTTTCACTTACAAAAAAAAAAAATCTAGTTTAATTAATCTTACAAAATTAATTAAAATCAAGCTTAGTTAATCTTTGAGTAAAGGGTTGAACTGAAGAGATAATATTTCCCCTAAAGAATACGATCTTATTTAGTACTTAAGTTTTAGAATAAGTTTCCTATATCTTCTGAATAATCAAATTTGACTCAAGCAACATTATCTGATTAAAATATAATACAAGCTATATATGTAGTCTTCAATTTTCTTGTAGCCAAATAAAAAAGAAGGAACCAGTGAGCCTAATTTTTATATTATATTTTATTTAAACCAATATACCTAATCATTTTAATCATTAAGACTAGCCAAATTTCAAGTTTCAGTGGCCTCAGGTGCTGGTGCCTCCCTCATTGGACAGCTCTAGAGGTAATATTTCTTGGGTTGGTATATTTATAATAAAACTAGAGGTGCATGAAATCGTGCATGGGTTGGGTCCCTCAGCCTGGCCAGCAATCAGTGCTGTTCAGGGCCTTTTAACCTAGTTCCAATTGGGGCAGATCCCCATGGGGAGGGGCCACAGAAAGTTGGTTGGACAGCCAGAAGAAGGGACTGCAGGAGGTTGGCTGGCCATGAGAGGTTGGCTGTGGGAGCGCACTGACTACAAGGGGGCAGCTCCTGTATAGAGCGTTTGCCCTGTGATGATCAGTGCGCATCATAGTGATTGGTGGACCAGTCGTCTGATTAACCAGTTGTAAAGGTCACTCGGGCTTTTATATATATATAGATATTTCATTCATATTTCATAATGATTAGAATTATTTTTAGGGTTATTTTATATCTTGAATCTAGAAAATATACTTAAGAGTCAGGCATGGAGTTATACAACTGCTTCTCTCTCTCTCTTCACATATATGTTTTATAGAAATATTAGCATATAAAACCTTTTAATTCATTAGTATTTAAGTGTGTGTATACAATTACCAAATTTCAGAGATAAAATTCCTGAATCTAACATTGCACCAGCTATTATCTCTATGCAAGTTGGCCAAATAAAGTAAACATACTCAAATTCAAATTTTAGCTCCTAAAATGGTGACTTTTCAATTTCCTGTTTACATACTGCATTTCTAGCTCTTCCTTCTTTGAGTGTTGACAATATGATTTATTTCTGTTTCTTCCAAAAATAATTGAAATGCTTGCTTGTCAACATTGTGTTCTTTTTTAAAGTGCAACTTGAGTTTATTCCTCAGATTATTTCACCCAAGCCACAAATATTTGATTTACTCTTATTAAAAATTGTTTTATTTCCAAGACTACTAGAATTTCATATGTGAAAAAGGGAGTGTTATTTTGTACTGTTTGAATTTTCTTATATGAGGAACAAAGAAATCAGAAGAAAATGTGTGCAGAAATCTCCACATCTACAATTTTTCCTCCTTTTTAACTAATTTAGTTGATTTAAAAAGGAATATATTAATTGCTATCTTTACTCATGATGAAGTAGCTGACTATTAGGAAGAGATGTAATTAGTGTCAAGATTATGTTCACTTGTGTTTTAGTTTGATTATTTATGTATTACACATAATCATCACGATATTACTGTTTGGAGAGAAAGCTGGCCTTGTAAAAGGCTATAAGACACAGTTCACATGTATGTTCTATTTATCATACGAATGGTCAGTGCTTTATGGTCTATACTTACACAATTCTGAGTAATCTACAGTTACTAGGAGTAAGATTAAATTCCCTACTTCTATTCCTTTTTATTTATTTATTTATTTTTAAGTAAAAAATTTTGCCCATCTGGCATGGCTTAGTGGTTGAGTATCAACCTTTGAACCAGGAGGTCACAGTTTAATCCCCAGTCAGGGCACATCCCCAGAGTTGGGCGTTCAGGAGGCAGACAATCAGTGATTCACTCTCATCATTGATGTTTCTCTCCCTCTCCTTTCCTCTCTGAAATCAATAAAAATAAAAGTTAAGTAAAAATTTTGTTGGGATACTTGGAGTATATGGTGAGTGTTGATAGCTATGGAAGGAAGAGTCCCAGAGCTTACCATAGAAAACAGATTGCACATAACAGGTGTTGAGAAGTACCTATTACCAAACTAAACTGAACAGGTAAGTGAGAATCAAGGAAACAATAATCTTTCTTAGCTCTGTGCCCATTAGGCTCTTACTCATCCTGTTAATTCTGTCCAGGTCCTTCCCGGCCACCCCCCGCAAACTTAACTATGTCTATCCTATATAATAAAAGCCTAATATGCTAAGTGTCTTGTTGACCAGCCATCCATTCAACCAATCAAATCCCACTATGCTAATGATATGCTAAGGCTGCTCAATAGCTCGCTATGACATGTACTGACCACCAGGCAACCAGTATGTTAGCCTGCTGCTGGGGTCCAGCTGATCAGGACTGAATGAGATGGGCCGGACATGCCCTGGAGCCCTTCCGCAGTTTCTTCCCAGCTGGCCAACCTCCTGTGTCCCTCCCTGGTCCCAATCATGCACCAGTGGGATTCCTCAGCTTGGCCTGCACCCTCTCACAATCCAGGACCCTCAGGGGATGTTGGAGAGTTGGTTTCAGTCTAATCCTGCAGGCCAGGCAAAGGACCCCACTGGTGCATGAATTCATGCACAGGGCCTCTAATATGTCTATAAAAGTGCCTTCTCTAACATGATCCTCACTATACAGTGGGTCCTCAGCATACCATATCTGTGCATGCTACCTATTTGTCCTCTTTGTACAGGGACTTTCTGCTCTGATGACTTCTGTTTTCATGTCAGAACTGAGTTGTCTTCTCTTTTCATTGGATTCTGGGATTTGGAGGTTTTTTTTGTGTGTTTTTTCTGTAACCTCTAATATTTTGCTTTTTTTGTTTGTTTGTTTTTGTTTTTTTGGTGTGTGTGTGTGTGTGTGTTTTTTTTACTAGAGATAATTGAACAGGAAACCTGTGTAAACTTTTCCAAATGAAAGATATAATTCAAAAAGTATATCTTCATAATTTATTTTCATAATTGATACAGTCAACTCTAAAAATAACTTTAAAAAATAGCCTGCATATTCAGGTGATAATATTCAGGTATCATGTAAACATGTTTGAATGCTTCAATAACTTCTGGTGGGAAAAGTACATACAGGATAGTTGTATAGATATATGTTTATTTGTTAATCTCCAGATCATAATTGGTAACTGAGGATGTTGTTAAATGGCTTGTTTCAACTATAAAAATTGGATTTTCTACTTACTAAAATAATTTATTGGGAGCATTCCCAAACTACTATAAAATATCTTTAATGTGCTAAACCACTGGCAAATGATAGCTTAGGATGGTACAATAAATCTCATTTAAATCTATAAAAATAATTGGAAATAAAGCTACAGTTTTTATAATAACCCATCTCCTATTGGAAATTATTTTTAAAACAAAAACAATAAAATATTATACTAATTTTAGGTTTATACCATACATAAATAGCTTATACAACCTAAACACCTTAGGCTTCACTGAAAAACAAAACAAAACATGTTTCTTTATCATGAATAACCTCATATGTGATTTATAACCTCATATGTGGGAATAATGTTGACCTAGTGCAGAAATTGTGTTATTTAATGCACAATGTTCCCTACCCTACTGATGTTTTGAAACAGTCAGGGGCATCTTTTCCCCACTCTTAATAGAACATCCTGAACAATAAAAGAAGAATTTAATACTAATGTGGAAAATTGTCAGAAGTGCCATATTTAGTGCAAGCAGGGTCTTATTTAACATGCCCAAGAGCTACTGTGCCTCTGACAATATTGAATCAAATGTTTTATTTTGATAATATCTTTCAAATGTCCTCAGGGCCCCATCTCAAGGGAGGAAGGACAGAACCCAGGGTCTGAGTCTGCAAAGTAGTTGCTGGCTGTGATTTTAGGTACGGATGTCCACAGAGAGTTAACTGGGCCAGTATCTTTTTCATTGGGATTGTTATTGTTTTCATTAGTGTAATAATTACAGTTTCATAAATTTCGAGTGTCCATTCGTTTATTATCTTTTCCCCTTAAGCCCTTTTATTTTTTGAGCATACTTTTGTGGAGGCATTTTATTTCTTTTATGAAACACATCTCTGATGTTTTAGCACACATGTTAAAGTAAACTATATATCTGAATATCTAAGTAACTTAGTTATCTAAATGTATTTTTCCTAAGTATAACATATAATCAAAATGCCCAAAATAATAATATAGAGCTAAACACCTATAGGTCAGAATAGACTAGAATGTAATTATTTTATCCCTCAAATCTTTCAAATGGTCATTGTATTTTATCTAAAATACATGAATATGATTGAGTATTAACTCATATGAAATGATTGGTTATGTTTACTAGCTATTATATGCAATTTATAATCTTTCTTAGATACTACCTATAGTTTGTTGGGAAAAAATACCTAATTGAAGAAAAACTCCTCCCAAAACTTTCCTTATATTCTTTCATATTACAGAAATCATTTTTTTCTTAGAAGTATTTAGCCTGAATTCAAAAAGTGGAAACCATCAGTCAGACCATAACCATAAGGAGATTGCTAGAGAATTTGAGTGTGCATTTCTAATTGCAAGAAGTCATTCCTACTTACTCTACATTCTTTGTCCAGTCTGGAGGGTTACTCAAGGTCATAAATACACAGTTGGTCAAAATAGTGCACATGATAAGCATGCTGAATAAAGTAGATTAGTTAAGGAATAAATGCTAGTATATTATCATGATCCAAATCACACAAATATCACAAATGCAAATTACCTGTGAAATTAAGCTTATTAGTTTAAAAACAATGAAAAAAATAATAAGAAACTTCAAAGCCTGTCATATATTCTTATCCACTGTTTTGAAAATTTTATATCATTTCCTCATAAAGCTGAATTTAATAGAAAGAGATTTCTATTTGAGATAAGTGGGAAATTCTGCATTCCAATCAGTTATGTGAAATTACACTGTAAGAGGAAAAAACTTATTTAGTGAGTTTACAGTATAACACAACTGTAAAAGTTGTAGTTCAGATATAATTCAAAATATCCAGTACAGACAAAATATTAATAAATATAATATAAATACCCTAAGAATGGATAGGCCACTACAGTCAAGGATTACACTGATTGAGAATTCTACTGAGATGAAGTACTCTAGTAGTCTTATAGTGACTAAACAGATAAACACTATTTTGAGAGCTTCCTGGGAATTAGTGTGTTAATTTCTCTTAAGACCTCAGTCCAGATTTCACTCTAAGAAAGCTTATGATTATTTTTAAGTGAATCTTTTGTTTTTTAGGAACTTAGTTATCTACAAGTATTTATATACTTTTAGTATTATATCATGGGAAGAGAGAATTTAAATGTACCTCAAAGGGTTATCAGTCCTATTTGCCCTATTTCTAGGATAACCAGTCTTTTGTCTCTTTGATTTTATATAAATCTACTTTGAATCTGTCTGTATGAAATGCCTATTCTTGAAACTTCCTCAGAAGAGCACATTTCTATTTTATCATTACTTGTTTGAAAATCTTATTGAAATCCACACTTTTCTGTCATTTTACATATACTTTTAAAAATATATATTTTAATTAATTTCAGAGAAGAAGGAGAGGGAGAAAGAAATAAAAACATCAACGATGAGAGAGAATCATTGATTGGCTGCCTCCTATACGCCCACAACCCAGCATGTGCCTTTGTCTGGAATCAAACCTGGGACTCTTCATTCCTCAGGCAGAAGCTCTATCCCCTGAGGGAGGGAGGGAGGGAGGAGGGAGGGAAGAAACAAAGAGTCCGGCCTAGTATAGCTCAACTAGCGTTGTTCCATAATTCAGTTCCTGGTCAGGGCACATGTCAGGTTTCATGTTCAATCCCTAGTAAGGGGCTTACAGGAGATAGCCAATAGATGTTTCTCTCTCATTGATGTTTCCTCTTTCTCTACCCCTCTTCCTTCCTCTCTCTCTAAAATCCATTAAAAAACATATTTTAAAAAAAAAAGGAAGGAGGAAGGGACAGCCAGACCCAGATGGTAAAGATACAGAGCCAATTAAGGTAAAAGAAGTTTGACAATTTAGTAATATAGGTTATAATACAACTAGAGGCCCAGTGCATGAAATTCGTGCACTGGTGGGAGGGTGTTCCTCAGCCCAGCCTGCACCCTCTCCAATCTGGGACACCTCAGGCAATGTCCACAGGGATTGAGTCTAAACCAGCAGTCAGACATCCCTCTCCCAACCGCTTGCCTGCCTGCCAGCCTGATCAATGCCTAACTGCTCCCCTGCCATCCCAACTGCCCCCAACTGCAGGCCATCTTGTACAAGAGTATGACAGTCAATTTGCATATTAATTCTTTATTATATAGAATATACTATGTTTCTTGAGCAATACTTATATATGGTCTAATTGAGGTTAAAAAAAAGTGTTGTTTCTATTGCACAGTGTAATTCACTTATATATTTGCTATCATAATTGCAATTTTACTTTTGTTAACATTCTATAATCCACTAGTCATTCTAGAATAGTCATTCTATAATACAATAATAATTGTATAATACAAGTCATTTTATAATATAATATATAAATAGAATAGTCATTTTATACTTTTTTAAGTAGCAGAAAATTAATGAGAACAACAGATTAAAGCACAATATAAAAAAGCAACCACTAGAAGTATTATTTAGACAATTCACATAAAAAGGATATGAATGTACCAAAATCTTAATAGCAATTTTTCTAACAGGGTTTAGTGGAGTTAAAATATACAAGGCAGAGGTGGCACTGAATCGGAAAATTGCCTTCCCTTTATTCAATACTATAAAAGTCTGAAAAAGAAAATGTGAGAAAAATTAATAGGTTAGACATGCAGCTTATTTGAAGAGCTTACACACATGACAACTTTTTAACCTGATTCTTTGTTCAAACTTGTTTGTTTAAACCAGTTGGTATAGCATAACAAAAAAATCATGGTAAATGTCTATCCCCTAAAATAACTTACAGCTACAAATAAAAATATTTTTAACATTATCTAATCTGTCTCTAAGGTTCCAACTTTATGATACAAATTAATATCCAACACAAAATGTTTACCAAGTTATAATGTAACTTAGCAGACTCCAATTCTATTTAAAGTTTACCATCTGTCACAGCTTTGGGAACTTTTCAGTTTATTCTGTACATGTTGCTATTAAAATAATCTTTTATAAATATTTTAATTACCTAAAGTCTCTTACCTCCAATGTTTATGACGACTCCTTATTTTCCCTATGGTAGTTGTTCTACTTTAAAATGTCAAAACCTGGTTTTGATGATTCTATAGATCTGCTGGTAACGGAAGGAACAACTACATTGAAAATTAGGGTGAAGTGCGTCATTTTGAAGGGAACTCTATAGCTAAAAGCCTATCATCTGAAGCCTCTAATTATCAATTTAGCATTGAAGCTGCGTTACCAGTGATTACCTACCATATCTCTCTAGAATTATCTTTCATTTTTTTTTCCTTCACAGCAACTCTGCTTCAGCCAATTCAACCCACTTGTCAATCCCACTCACAACCTGTCAGCTTCTCCCTTTGACTCTGAAAAAGGGTGTCACAGGATCTTAGAGGAAAGAGGACCCTGAGAGGCCATCTCTGCAAACTTCCTCCCATTTCAGGTCCATAACAGACTTGACAGTAAGGTCCCCCTACAATGCCTCACTACTATATCAAAGGTCCTTATTCTTGTCTCATATTAGAATATCCTGGGGTGACTTTAAATTACCAATATTCTGAAGGATGGGCACAGACATGGTATGTTTAAAAATTTCCTCAGAGGATTCTAATCTTCAGCCAGGGTTGAAAATCCCTACTCTCTGAGAATGTTCTCAGTTATCAAAGTCACCTCTTCCATCACATCTTCCCAAATAAACTATGATGTCTTCTGATCACTCCCTAATTGTTTTCTTCACCGGTTAAGTCTTGGTATGTTAATTTGCACACTTCGGCATGTTGCTTGTAATTATAGTTTAGTAGCAATTTACATGTAGGGTTCTTTCCACTGAGGGCTAGGTCAGAAGTTATAAACCGCTGAGCATAAAGAGTATGCAATCTTTTTTTCCTCCACACTTTTCACAGTATTTAGTAGTGCTATTTGTAAATAAATACTTGTTTAATTAAATGTGGGTTTACCTTTAATATGCCATTTACCCCTATATATTAATTTATTTAATAATATGTTTTTACCCTTTAACCAATGTCTATATCTATATAATCATGTTCACTGACAACATGCCCTGTTTGAATAGGTGGTCAGAAACATTGTGAATATAAAGGGCAGAGAACCCCATTTCTCTATACAAGCCCTTTTATATTTAAGACCATGGAGCCAACCATTACCTAACCAACCATTTTTTTTCCTGAATGGCATTCTATAAATGTGAACAATTCTATGAAGAGAGCAAGAAAGTTGTTCTTTATTAGCATTGAGATTATCCAGAAGGGACAGTGGACATGGGAAGATTGCCCTTAAAGCACAAATGCATTAAAAGATTTTCTTGAATTCACAGGATTAGATCATCTAATGTTATAGTCAAACAATCTGGATCCATTTAGGCAGTCGATGACAGCAATAACATGTAAAGCTCAGATAATTCAAGATGCATTTGATTATGCTTTTTTTGAAGCAACTTCCCTGAAAAGCAATTGCCACTTGAAACATTAGGAGATTTTGTTTTGAAAAAAAAAAATCCAAATGCAAAGCGAATGAAAGCAAACTGTTCATTTATACATGGACTCCTACACTCTTCCTGTGAGATTAATTTGTGTGGCACTAATGGGATTAAAACAGACATGCCAAGGGTATCTTCATTGAATTTGCAGGTTCTAGAACAGAGCAGGCCTTTAGAACAAAAAGTATGTGTAAAAAAAGGCCAGTTTATTTCTGCAAAACAACATCTAACACAAAAGAACCTTTTTTTTCTGAGAAGTGAGGAATGAGATACTAATATCCTGAACAGGAGACAAGAAAGACATTTGAAATGTGGCTCTGATGTTATTGAGAGATGTAAAAGCTGAGAAGTCTTGATAAGATGAGAGATAATTAGAGGAGGAGTAAATAGTGTCAGTTCCAAAAGCTGGTCTTCAAGTAATGATAAGTAAGGAGGTGACTTGAAAAATATAATAACAGTATATTACTACTTGAGTAATGATTATTATAAGTGGAAGTACGTTAAGCTGGTCCTTGTCTGCTCTTTTTTTCCAAGTAAACACCCATGTTATGTAGCTTTGCTAACATTTTGACTACTTGGTGCAAGAATAAGCTTTACATCTATGAGTAGGAAGGTCCACATCAATCAGAGAATTTTTTTAAAAAAGTTATACAACCAATTTTTAAATATTGTATTACATTAATAAATACCATGTAGCGTTTGCTTAATGGTTAAGAGCTCCAGGCCCGGAGCCTCACTCACTGCCTGAGTTCAAATCCTGAATTCACCACTTATAATGTGAGATCTTGGGTAAGTTACTTAACGACTCTGCACTTCTCATCGGTAAAATGACACTAACGTCAGACCTACCCCACTGGCTCTTTTAGTATCAAATGAGTTACGTCTGAGTTCTACTCACAGTGCCTGACAGAGTATGTGCACAACAAATGTTAGCTATTATTGTTATCTCTGTCACTGTTCTTAAGTTACTCCTTGGTCAACTTAAATGCCATTAAAAGACATTGTGATGTTGCTTATCTGTTTAGGTTAGCTGTGTAAATGTATCTTTAATGGCAGCAAACAGTTACATAATGCTTTACCAATTTAAAAAGCCTTTCACCTGCATCATTTCATAATTAACATAATTTTCCTGTCGTATCTTAAAATACCAGAACTTCTCCATTAACTTCTTAAATTACTTGCACCTTTAGATATCATAAACTACTTTTTCTTCAATAGCACCTCAAACTTCATCTTTATAGATATTTCAGAAGGAAAGCAGTGCAGCCAACAGTAATGAGAAAACAGTCTCTCAAGATGGGTCCTGGCCACTATGGACAAATCAAGGTCCAAACCTGGTTCTCAGGCAGGAGGCAATAAAAGCTGACTTTGTTAGCACACAGGGAACAATTCAGTCTCCAAGCGGCAGACTCACACTAACCAAGTTTTAAAGCCTAACATACGAAATCATAATACCAACCCACTTATTTACGATGAGATATATTGCTTTCACATGGACTGAAATAACTGCAAAAGCATAACTAGCACAATCTTTGTTTTTAAGCAGATCTATGGAAAGACAAATTATAAGAAGGTTTTTGCTGAGGTTGGAGCCTTAAAAAACCCACTTAATAAATGATTCAGAATTCTTAGCATCTTTGTTAGGTAGCCCACTGTACCTCCCCTACAATGAAATGTCCTTCATTTGAGGAGATAAATGCTTTCAGGATACTACTAAATATCTGTCTCCCTTAGAAAATGCTAATGTTAATCTCCAGTGTTCTCTCCCCACCCTCCATTTATCTTACCATTTCCCTTGCTTAAAGATACGTCCTGTCTTTAAGTTGCAAATGCATTGAATCATGTCAAAGTAAGTGACACTCCGTCTCTTTGCAAATATATCCTTTTCATAGGAGAACTGTCTACTTGTTCCTTGGGGGATGTCTCACTCTCATCATCATGCGTAATAATCCAGCAACTAAATTTCAAAATTTCTATAGAAACGTGCTGGAATAAATTACTTTTTTAGGAATATATTACTATATTTTCCATGCCACCTTCTATGAAACTAGTTTAAAAGGAAGAATTTAATTTAATTTTGTGTGGTGGCTTTAAATAAAGCATTCTAAAACTTGCGGCTCAAAATGTGTCCCATGTACAAGCAGCATGAGACTCACTTGGGATCTCTGGTCCCACCCCAGGTCTATGGAATCAGAATCTGTATTTAACAAGATCCTCGGGTGATAAGTACTAGTATGCCATCTGCTTAGGTATGTCAACATTAACAGATGCTTTGCTTTGCTAATGCCAGTTTAATTCTATCTCAGTTGCTGTGACATTGTAGACATGAACCATCTCTTCACTTTTCTCCCCTGGAGCCCAATCTTGACTTTATTTCTGATAAGCATTTCTGCTTCGTATAGAATCAAATTTGAACAGAATGTGGTGTGGGATGTATATGAGCCTGAGAAAAGTCCATTAATGTTAAGTGTTTAATAAAAGACTAAACTTTGGAAGCATAACTGAACGTTCAGAAGTAAGAAATCAACACTCACTTTCTTACTGATGTAGTACGGGTCCAGGTCCTCCAGGGGCTCTGACACCATCTCAGGAGGGATATCTCCATAAATAAACGGGAGGTTTTTTCCAGCTTCCAAGTCACCATTTGGCTTTGGTTTGTTCTCGTCATCATTGTCTTGTTCTCTCTTGGGGTTCTTGGCTTTCTCTTCTGCAGCACGTTTTTCAATAGCAGCAAGGGATTCTCTAGTGAAAAGGCGGAAGCTCTCAGGTCCCGGGGGTACCAGCAGTGCCTGTGCCATCTTTTCATCCTGCACATTTAATCACGTTTAGCTTCTTGCATAAGAATTGCCTGTTAACAAACAAAAATGAATGAGAATTAGGAAAGCAAATGAATGAGAGGGATTAAGAAAATCATCCAAGATGTTATTTAATGTTCCTTCCAGTAATGTTTTAAAAGTAGCACACCACAAATTTTTAATTTGGAAACATCATAATTCAATCTAAAGTTTTCAATAAGCCAATTTCTAGAAGTCTATTGAAACTCTGTTCTGAGCCAAAATATAGTAGTATACTTTTGGTAAAAAGAGTAATGCTTGTCAATAAAATACTTCAGGACTCATATTTCTCTCACCTCTCCTTTTATCACATCTTACTCTCCAAATAAAGACATTAAAGAAAGACAATATTATAGACTGACTCATAGAAGCTCAGGATAGAACAGAAGTTTTGCATAACCCAGCCCTGTGCTAGTCATCAGCATCATTGATCACTGGTTCTCCAGGGAAGGTCTGACCAGCAGCAGGTACAGGGAAGTCAAGACTTTGCTTCTTTTTTGGCTTTCCTTTCGGATCCTTCTGGGACATCTTCTGAGACAGTGCAGAATATGGCAGAGGAATGGGGGAAGGTAGGTTTACAGTTGTTCTTATGGAAAATAATACAATCCTATATAATAAAACCCTAATATGCAAATAGACCGAATGATGGAACTACCAGTCACTATGACACACACTGATGACCAGGGAGCAGATGCTCAACACAGGAGCTGCCCCTTGCTGGTCAGTGTGCTCCCACCAGGGAAGTGCCACTCAGACAGAAGCCAGGCTCACGGCTGGCAAGCACAGTGATGGTGGCAGGAGCCTCTCTTGCCTCTGCTGCAGGTGGCCGGTAAGGAGTGAGGAGTCCTGGACTGTTAGAGCACCAGACTGCAAGAGGGATGTCTGACTGCTGGCTTAGGCCCTATCCCTGAAGGAAATTGGGCCTAAGCCAGCAGGCAGACATCCCCTGAGGGGTCCCACACTAAGAGAGGGTGCAGACTAGGCTGAGGGACCCTCTTCCCCGCGAGTGCAGAAATTTCATGCATCAGGCCTCTAGCAAACCTATATAATAAAAAGGTAATATGCAAATTGACCATCATGGCAGAATGACTGAAAACGACCACCAGGGTGCAGATGCTCAATGCAGGAGCTGCCCCCTGTAGTCAGTGTGCTCCCACAGGGGGCGCTCTGCTCAGCCACAAGCCAGACTAAGGGCTGCGAGCACAGACGTCTGGCAGGAGCCTCTCCTGCCTCCTTGGCAGCACTAAGCTGGCAGATGGACATCCTCTGAGGGCTCCAAGGCTGCAAGAGGGCACAGGCTGGGCTGAAGGACACCCCCACCCCCGCCCCGAGTGCATGAATTTTTGTGCACAGGCCTCTAGTTAATAAGTAATAACACTGCATTTTGCATACTCAGAACTGTGATTCTACTTTTATCCAACCCTGTATATTTATTTCATTTTCTAATCTGATGCTCTTTAACTATTCTAAGACAATTTTCAGATGCTTCCTGAATCTTTCATTTGGTGTAGTAGTTAAAAGCATGGAATATGGCCTTACTGGCATGTCTCAATGGTTGAGCATTGACCTATAAACCCAGAGGCCATGGTTTGATTTCCTGTCAGGACACCTGCCTGGTTGCAGGCTTAATCCCCAATGTTGGGTATGCATGAGGCAGTCGATCAATGATTCTCTCTCATAATTGATATTTCTATCTCTCTTTCCCTCTTCCTTCCTCTCTGAAATCAATTTAAAAAATTAAAACACATGGAATATGGAGTTAGAACCCTTTGTTCTAAACACTGGCTCTGTCACTTGTGAGCTACATGACTTTGTAAAATGTAACCGTCAGTGCTTCAGCCTTCAGCCATAAAAAGGGATAAGAGAACTGACCTCCAAGGTTATTGTAAGGAATAAATAAAAGAATTTACATTAAGTGTTTAGAATAGTTTCTGGAATTAGTAAACACTATTTTAGTGTCAGTGATCGTAATCTAATGATCCTCAGTTCCTCCAGCTATTACTCCTGTTTGGTTTCAAGCATTTTTACAATTTGAGTCACTTTTTAAAGTAAGGTCTTGATTTGCTGGGACCACAACTGACCACAGAGCTCCAGGAATGGGCTGGAAAGTGAAGAGCACAGGGTGGAAGGGGGTGTTCACACATGCCTACCACCTGGCTGGGAGAGGAAAGAGAGACGGCAGACATGTGGAGTCACCTTGCTCAGTTTCCCAGGGAAGGAGGAAAAATTCTATCTTCTGGAAATGTGACAATACTGTCCAAAATACAAGAAATCAGCTACATAAGTTTTGAATCATAAGTTAATAGTTACTTTGGATTGTGCCAAAAAATCACATTTTAAAAGTCAAGATAGAAAACAGAAACAATAACCACAAAATATGAGTGCATCAGTCATCTTGTAGAATGATCTAAAACCACGGCATCAAAGTAGTCATCCAAGTCATCTGTCACATTTTCCCTGTCCCCGACCTCCCACCTAGCCCTTGCCTAGTCTGCACTAGTCTGGTCTCCATAGTCATTTATCTATCCCCCAGTGGCTTTCATATTGTTAGCAGTTTGTTGCATATCCAGAAACTCTTGATCCTATAGTAACATAAGAAAAATTGTATAGTTTTATATCATTTTTTAGTTTAAATTTGGATTAAACTAAATTCTGTTCTAATGACAAAAAATGATTTTAATAGCTGTTCTTTTTAAATGAAATTTGTATTTATAATATGACATTATTATATTCCTTGCTACTACAAAGGCATAAAATATTAGATTTGTCAAAAATCGTGTCATTTTCCCCACTAGGTCTGAAAAAGACCTTCTGATTTGAGGCAGAGTAGGGTTGTTTTGTGATTTTTTTTTTTTTTTTTGTACTTCATTAAGTGGTATGTGAATGCAAATCAGAAGGTTTGAGAATAGTTCTTCTGTTTTATTCAAAAATAGTCAACTATTAATATACAGCAGAATCAGTGTTTTCTTCTATATCATGTCAGTTTTGATGGGCACATAATTGATCCAGCTCGAGGCTGTGTGGAATAATCACAGCTTTTATACTTTTGAGTATGGAAGGAGTTTGCCCTTAACTGCAAGTCTTAGATACCCAAAGATCGTGATTCTCTCATCGCCTGTCATGTATTGAATGGGTAAGTTATTCTCAAATGCTCAATGAAAATGGAACAGCATGGCAAACCTGTCTTAAGAAGTTTCTATGAAACATGGTAGCTTTCTTAGGGGAAAAGAAAGGCTGCTTTTGTATTTGAGCTCATAATGATTGTGGTTTCTTTATCAACAATGGAATGGAAAACATGTAGCAATCAGAATGAGAGATCTTGGTTAGCACTGAGTATGTCACTAACAGTTTGCCTGTGTCATTTAACCTTCCTCAACCTCAGTGTCATTGAAGTGCTTTATTGTATATGTGATAGCACTTTGCCACAAGAAATACTCATTTAGGAATCCAAGATGGCTGCACAGGTAAACACCTAACAGCAGCCACACACAACAATTTCAATAAAATACAACTAAAATATGAAATGGACATTACCCAGAACTACAGGAAAGTCGACCAACTGGAAATCCTACAACGAGAAGCAAGGAGAAAACCAGAAGGAAGAGCAGAGGAGCTGTAAAAGCCTAAGGTATGGAGACATGTTGCGCGTGGAGAGGACGGAGCCGGAAAGGAGGGGTGGCTGAGTGCCTGGCTGGCATTCCCTAGCAGGAAGGAGATAAAAGCTCCAGACTGTGCTGAACCCCAGACCCAACAGTGATGAGCCCCAGTTCTAGGCCAGACCCTGGGGACCCAGGCGCATACAGAGGAAGCTGGGCTGTAAGGCGGAAACCCAGGGAAGCGGCGAAAGGAGGTCCTGGAGGCGCGCACATTGTGCACAGAGAAGGGACGGTTGGCTGTGCAGTGGGATTGCCCTGGCGGGAAGGAGACAAAAGCTCCAGACTGCTCTGAACCCCATGTCCAATCCCACTTCCAACTGAACTGAACCCCAGTTCTGGGCTCAATGGGGGAGAGACTAGACTGTTTGGTAGCAGGCAAAACTCGAGGGCACCTCACTCTCAGAGGTGCTTGCAGCGAGTACCGAAGGACCCTGAAAAACACTGAGACTCAGGAGCCGCATAGGGCAGGCTGATGGAAGCCAAGGCTGTAGGTTCCACCCCGAAACTCTGCCCCATCCAAGCTGAACACAGAGACTTTTAAAGCTACCAACTCAAGGAAGCTGCAAAAATGCCGAGGCAAGAAAATAGATCACAAATGAAAGGAATGGAGGACAAAAAGCGACTGGATATAGAGTTCAAAACCACGCTTATAAGGTTGTTCAAGACTTTCCTAGACCTATGAGGATATGAAAAGGGATCAATAAGAATCAAAAAGAAATAATAAGGAATCAACAAGAAATAAAGAATACATTGTCTAAAATAAAAAATATTATACAGAGTCCTAAAAACAGAATGGAAGATCACAAGAATCAAGTCAAAGATTTGGAACATAAAGAGGCAGAAGACACTCCTCTGCAGAAGCAAGAAGGCAAGAGAATCCAGAAAGTTGAAGATAATGTAAGAAACCTCTGGGACAACTTCAAGCGAACCAACATCAGAATTATGGGGGTCCCAGAAAATGAGAGAGAGCAAGATATCGAAAACATACTGAAAGAAATAGTGACAGAAAACTTCCCCCACTTGGTGAAAGAATTAGACTTACTAGTCCAGGAAGCATACAGAACCCCAAACAAAAGGAATCCAAAGAAGACCACACCAAGACAAATCATAATCAAAATTCCAAGAGCAAAAGACAAAGAGAGAATATTAGAAGCATCAAGAGCAAAGCAGGTAGTTACCTATAAAGGAGCACCTAAATGATTGTCAGATGATTTCTCAACAGAAACCATGCAGGCCAGACGGGATAGCAAGAAATATTCAAGGTGATGAATAGTAAGAACCTACAGCCAAAAATAATCTACCCAGCAAAGCTATCACTCAGAATCGAAGGCCAGATAAAGAGCTTCACTAATAAAAAA